GTATATATATGTATATATGTATATATATGTATGTATATATGTATATATATATATATGTATATATGTATGTATGTATGTATGTATGTATATATATAAGAATAATTAATTAGATATTGTAGATGCAAAGTTCACATGTGAGTAATAGTCGTTAATCATTGTCTTTCATTTATCTTATTCTTAGTTTGTTGTGTCTGGAGTGCCTTGTTGGAGCTAAAGGATCCATCACTTGTGGGTTGGATGTATCTTGTCTGTTGTAATCGAGATATACTTTAAAAATGAGGCAGAAATGTATTATCGATTGACTGGTATAAAATTTTACTGAGCATCAAAAAACTAAAAAGGAAAAAAGATCTCGCTAGTGAAGATTGACGAGGTCAAATTTATTTAATGTTTAACATATGTCTTCCCTAGAGTCTTTAGATTGTGCACTGCATATACACATTAGAAGTCACCTGCAACACTGGTGCTTGCCAATTTTCTTCCTTTTGTTCTAAGATTTATTTGAAGCATAATCGTCTGATACTCTTTGGATAATTTGGAGTTCTTCTAATCGACAATTAATGCTCTGAATGTTTTTAACTTTGCATTCATGAAAAAGGGCTTATATTTTAGTTTCCCAAATGTTGATTTTTCCATTTTGAGTGCAATATCGTGTTTTCTTTGGCTGGTCAAGTGGCAGTTACACTTTCATAACAGACAGGTGTTCTGTATCTAGAGCAGGTAGTTGAGGACTAAAAGAAAACCTAATGTACGTTATTGCAACCTTTTGATATTAAATAATTTTTTATGTTCATTTTTTTAGTTGTGCTGTTAGGATTATGTTAAAGATCCAGATAGGAGATTTGCTGCTGATACAGTAGCTGCAATTGGGTTGTGCGCACAAAGACTACCTATGGTAGCTTCTACTTGCTTAGAAGGGCTTTTGGGTCTCATATTTCATGGTAACTGAGTTGATATTTATATATTTGTAACATTCTCTGATGATTGAAAGTTTTTTTAGAAAAAAAAATTTGTTTTGCAGAATCCTCCATAAGCAGTTCGAGCCAGCTTGATGGAGAAGCAGGTGTTTTGGTTCAAGCAATCATGTCAATCAAAGCTATAATAAAGCATGACCCAACTAGTTATGACAAGGTTATTGTCCTTCTCTTCAGACCATGATTATGTTTTTTGGGTTGTTCCTTCATAAATTAAGTTCATGGTAAAGTTATCTTTGCAACCTCAATTTCTCATGTGCTCTAGAAGATTGATATGACAGCGAAAGTCAAATCATACAGCTTGATTTACCTAAACTTACATATCTGATGAATGGATTAGATCATCATTATCTCTTATAAGGCGCATGAAAATGTGGTCCCTACTCCCTACTTCATCCTATTAACAGGACATTCTTGTAGTATAATCATAAAGCCTATAGATGATCTTCAGTTTCAGAGGCAATAAAATAAAGCACCATGTGCGCTTTGACATTGTTTTGTGTTTGGCAAGCCTACGAATTTGGGGAACCATGTAAAAGAATAGCTGTAAGTTGTGGGAAAACATATATATGGTCGAGATTATTTTGGAAACACCATTTAGAACATAACTTGTAAGTTCTAAACTACAAATTATGATGTATCTTCTACATGTGTAGCCTGTTAAGATTTCACAGAAATGGAAGTCATCTCAGAATAAAAGGTCGGTTCTACTTAAATAATGGTATTCTGTAGAAGGATATGATGTACATGTTATTAGACAATGTAAGGTCATGCTGTTGGCAAATGTTGGTTGAGTGTACACTCCCTCTCTTTGCATTCTTGTCATTAGGCTGTATATATAAGAAGTTGCTAACCATATAATCAAAGCTCTTGTGGTCCATGTCCACTTCAACTGATTGAATTATATTAGAAGTGACATCATAATGAAGTGTTTTATGAAAAGATGTTATTGCCTGTAAAACAAATACATAGTATGACCACTAGCAGACTTACGCATGCCGATTGCAGTCTTGTTATTCAATGCATTTCATGCACATTCCTTATGTGAATGTAATTTTAAGCCCCAGTTCCAGTATTCTCAGTGTTCAAAGGAAAAGTGTGTCTTCATATGCCAATGCATGCTGGTACAGCCGGGTCTCTGCATCCTACACCCCACCCTGCCAATCGATAGGTTGACTTTGCATAACAGTGTGATGCCAATCATTCGAAGGCAATCATTGTGAATGCCACTTAGTTACTATGTGGAAGGGTTTTTAACATTATCCATATTACTTGGATGTGTCGTACAAAAATATATTGGTCACTATTCTGAATTTAACTTGGTCTTACATATCTTTGTGAACACCCACATTGATACTGTTCAGAAGATAAATTAGACATTATTCTTGGTATTCTAGCATAAAAAGATATTGGTCAGTATTTTTAAACTGATTGGATGTTTTACGTGTTATTAAATTTGTCTGATGATTTTAGTTTTGATAAAACCATATCTGCATTATATTTTTGGTACTTACTGTTGATTTGTAAAAACATTCTCAAATTTGTTAGTTTTCCTGCTTGTGCATGGTTCTTCCTAATTATTTTACCATGAGTACTGAATGTATGTTAGACCTTATGATTTCCTGGTTAATTTAATTCATGTGTTCAGAATTGTACATTTATGTAGTTACAGTTCATTTTCTATTGCCTTTTACTATCTCATATTATGTTTGTGTTGAAGGTGATTGTCCGATTAGCATGCAATTTGGACAGAGTTAAAGAACCTGCTGCACGTGCATTAATTATTTGGATTATAGGAGAGTACTGCTCTGTTGGACAGATTATTCCCAGAATACTTCCAAGTGTACTAAAGTACCTCGCATGGACTTTTAATTCAGAGGAGCTTGAGACAAAGCTTCAGACCCTAAATACTGCTGCTAAGGTACCTCTTTGCATTATCCTTTTATGCATTAGTTCTTTAACGTAATATTTGTCATCTATATTCATCACCATTTCTTCACCCATTATACACATTTAATGAACCACCGTGATGAAGTTATATTGACATGTTTGGTCAAATTTTACATAAACAGACTTTTGGCCCATTCTTTGATTATTTAGATTAGTATAGAGACTAATCTTGAAATTCTTGTTTGTCTATAATTTTATGCTAATGATATTTCCCTAATGATGTAATTTGGCTCATTATACACAGCCTTCTTTTTTCAGATTCCAGGCTTTTGACCCAAGCCAATCAATTCTTAAACATGAACCTATGACTATGAATATAGCCTAGGCATGCGACCTTCTCATAGGTTTATGTAGGTAGGTTTTGTTGAAGTTCTATTTATCTTTTGAGTCAGAAGAAAGAAGTACAGGATAACTATTTTACGGTTATGGATTTATATATGACTGGCCTATAAAATCTAGTGGGAACTGTGTCGTGGTAGGAACATTTGAAAGAACTACATTTGACCACCATGTTTTATTTTATAGCAAAAATAAACCTTTGGATATGTCAACAAGAAAATATATGCACAGCCCTTGTATAACAAATTCTCCAATTTGTCAGTGATGTCATAAATTCAGGGCGGAAATATGCCGGATTGGTGAAACCATAAGATGATATTGAGTTGCTCTGTGTTTTATGTTGGTATTGGTAATGGTGAACTTCTTAACAGAAATAGTTGTTATGAATAAGCAATTAGCACTCTTTTCATTTTATCTGGAAATTCTGAATAGTTATTCTTTAACTAGTTAATGTTGCAAAAAAAAAACTACTCATAATTTTCCCATGATTATATATCTATGACTAGTCAGTGTTCTATGTGCTTCTTTTTAGACGCACTTAAGATGCTGTTTCATACTTTTTCATTGGTTTTATTTTGTAGGTTCTGTTATGTACTGAAGGAGAAGATTTATTGACATTTAGAAAGATTCTGAGCTATGTTATTGAATTGGCAAAATATGACTCGAATTATGATATCCGTGACCGTGCTCGTTTCATATTAAAACTTGTGCCCCGGAACCTAACCACCACATCTGAGGAAGAGACCACGTCATGTTTCCTGCAGAATGTAGGGATTCATCATGAATTTGCAGAAAACATATTTAGTGGGAAAATACATTCGACAGCATCCTCAGCAAAAAGCTTTCGGATTTACCTTCCTGGATCTCTATCACAGATAGTTCTACATGCAGCTCCTGGTTATGAACCTCTTCCCAAACCTTGTAGTCTGCATGCCAATGATCTCAAACTACGTATGGAGTTGGGTGATGAGACAAAGGAGTCTAAAAAAATGGCTAAGAACAATTCATTTGGAACAGGTGATCATGATGCATCTTCTGGATCTTCATTTGAAGAAAGTGGCTCTGTCTATGATTCTCATCATTCTATAATTAGCTCAGACAGCGAGGGGAATGAAATTACAAGTGAATCAAATGAAATTGGCCATTCTTCTTTGGAGGTTATGCATGATGACTGGGACAAAACCCTAATTGATGTTTCTGATGCTGGTGTTGATAATGATCAAGCAAGTCAAAGTGCCAAGGGGAATTTATCTGCACTCGTCTCTACAGATTTGGCGGAGTTGATGTCAAAGTCAGCACTGGAGTCATGGCTGGACGAGCAACCTGGTTTGACATCGGTACAGATGTCTCAACAACCTCCTTCTGGTAGAATATCTATAAACAATCTTGATTGCACTGTTACACCTAAGATCCACATGCTGCTTGATCCTACAAATGGTAATGGCTTGAGAGTGGAATATGCCTTTTCTTATGAAGTTTCAACTATATCACCAGTGATGGTCCAAATTGAAGTTTTCTTTGAGAACTGCTTGTCCGAATCATTAGTAAAGATAGCCTTGAAGGATGGAGAATATAATTCTCGTGTGGATTCTTCAGATCCAGTGTTGGAAGAACATGAAAGGTGCTGATGTTAGCCATGCCCCTACATTAGTTTTATGTTATCCGATCTCAATTTTAGTTTCAGCCTAGTAGAAGTTGAATTAATCTCTGATATACTTACAAATGCTCTTTTTCTTGTTTCGTCCGTAGCCTGCTTCCAACTGATAATGCACCATCTATGCTTCCTAGTGAAGAGATTGCATCTCTAGATCCAGGTCAGAGGTTGAAGAAAGTTATTCAAGTCCGTTTTCATCATCATCTTCTGCCATTTAAGGTGGCTGTGTTATGCAATGGGAAAAAGTATTTGACAAAGCTGTGGCCTGATATTGGGTATTTTCTTAGACCACTCTCCATGAGCATGGATGCTTTTATTGAGAAGGAACGACAGTTACCTGGGATGTTTGAGTGTACAAAGAGGTTAGCAGACTGCCTTGTTTGTTAAAGTTTGAAATTTTTTGTTGTTGAATATTTTCACTGGTTGTCTAATGTAATGATAGATTACATTGGATCACTTAAGTTTAACTCAGATCAAAATCAGTGAAGAAATATCCCTGCATGAAAAGTGGAAAGTGTAGAATTAATACAATTAAAACATGATCTATTCCTTCTAGAAGATGAAGGGTGATTGTAGGACATGGAAAGATCCAAAGATACTTGGGTCATTGATGTCATTTAAAGTTTAAATGTGAAATAAAGCTGTACATAATATAAAAATTATGAATTGACATTAGTTGTGAATCTTGAACTTATAAATTGTCTGCCGATGCATTTTATTAAACAGGTCATAATAAGTTTTGGCATCTTAAGCTTGATAAATTGTTGATATTCTCAGGCACTAGAAAGAGGTCTTAGTTAATCGTAGGTTCTGACAAAACATGGAGTCATATACTAAAAAAAAACAATATTACAGAAAACCCAAGTATAAGTTTATTATTAGGAGTATTGTAAAAGGAGTTTGATTTTGTGAGAAATTAGAATATGCAGAGAAGTTGTACGTTTTGTCTGTCGTTGAGTAAAGCTTAACCAATATCATGAAATCATTTGTAACAGGTGCACCTTCAAAGAGCACATTGACCACGAAAAGGATGATAGTTCTTTCCATTCTGATAAAATTATTTTGATATCTCGAACAATTGCATCTAAGGTTCTCAGCAATTCAAATGTGTTCCTTGTAAGTGTGGACATCCCAGTATCTTTCAACATTGATGATGCATCAGGCTTGTGCTTACGATTCAGTGGGGAAATATTGAGCAGCTCAAAACCATGCTTGATTGCTATCTTAGCCGAGGGTAAGTTCTCTGAACCGTTGGATATGGCAGTCAAAATCAATTGTGAAGAGACAGTCTTTGGCCTTAACTTGCTAAATAGAGTGGCAGCATTTCTACAATGAAAGCAGAATGTTGATGACCCCACCCCCTCCAATCCCACTTTTTTGACTTACTCCCGTTAAAAAAGGCACATGATTTTGTAGCCAGTATATTTGGATGGATATTGAAGATGTTGTAGGCATATTATTGGAAACAAAGAGGTGGTGGTGGTGGAGATTAATCATATCGTAAGGCTTATTGTTGTGAGTATTATGCCAAATATTCAAGTTTGTAACAGCACATTATTGTTTTCCCTTTTTACAAATTTGGCTACAAACCTCGCATTTCTGCTGTTATCACAAAGAACATCCATCTCCTTTGTGCGTTTATGTGCGTGCAGGAGGGGCTTTATTTGTAGGACCTCACACTTTTGGTTTTTTTTTTTTTTTCCGAGTGGCAACTTATATTTTTGTGGAGAGATTTTATTTTTATTTTTCAAATATTCACAATGTTCCCATATTATTTTGTCAATGAAGTTATAATGTTTTTTTTAATGGACTTGTTTCGTTTTGTATTAATAAATAAAAAAATTATAATTTTATTGAAAACAGTCAGTCTTAATTAGTTAAGATCTTCATAAATCTTAATTGATCATTCATATTATGTCAAAAATGAAGTAAAACATATGAATTTTTTTTTTAATTTTGTGTTAAACTTATGTTTATATATTTTGAAGAATCTTATACCATTTGTATCTATCCATCAGTTCATGTGAATTACATTGGTTCTTAAATGGAATTTTAGTGTGTTGAAGCATATCCTAGCAATCGGAAGTGTGGGGAGTTGGGAGCCAATCATGACTCCTGTTAAAAGTCTGTAGCAAGTCCAGTGCCTAAAAAAAAAATTATATCGAAGTAATTGGAAAGTTGATGTACTTGGAAAGTTACTATGATACTTTATTTTTTTAATTTGTTTTTTTTTGTGAAAGAAAAATATTGTTAAAACACTAAAAGAAAGCAGTAAGGACGGACGGACGGACGGACCATCATCCACTTTACAAAACGTGGAGCGCCCTGAGATTGTCCCCCAAATGAGCTTGGAATATATATATATATATATATATATATATATATATATATATATATATATATATATATATCAAGCCAAGCCAAGCCAAGCCAAGGAAATCTGCAAAGATTGGAGCTCAAAAATCATAAAGCAATTAGGGACAGAATTTGGGTGCACATGACTTTAATTAAAACCTTACCTTTCTTTGAGCCCAAGCACCCCAATACCATCTGCTATTTTTATATATCGATAGGGATGTTAATAGTTTGTTAGCTTGGTGTGGGATTCCATGGCATTGGAATTAATTCTAACATGAACAATTTCGAAACAGTTACTTGGGTCAAGACATTGGATTTGCCTCAGAATTATGCATGGAATCCTCCTAGTTTTGAACCTGAATCTGCTTCACCATCTCCTCAAATCGGACATCCTATGCTCATCAAACAAAGGATGCAATCCATAGCTTTTGTTGCTAGTTGACGGCACAAGCAACCAACCTTGTCTGGCTTTCAAGGGATATATCCCTTGGTGGAGACTCAGATGACAGATGCATGGGTTTTACCTCCATCAGCTGGGTGAGAGTTGAGGTAGAGCCGCCGAAGGTTCAACTTCAACCAGTGGACTTTTCTGGTGGGCGTTTCTGAGTTGCCCACAAGCTGCACTCGCATCGAGCCCACGTGTCTGCCGAACACTAACTGTAATCTTCTTAGATTCCAGTGTCGCCATGAAAGCTAATACCTGCCAACGTCACAAAGCAATGGTGGACTCAAAGATGCTTGATCAATAATCTTGGTATGAACATGTTGTTCTAGCAGCTAACTTGACCGATTTGTCTTAAAGAGGACGATTAAGGAGCCTGGTTATACATATAATTCACCATTATGAAGTTGAGAATTCAGGGGGTACCGCTTTCTTGTATGGCCTTCGGTACTCGGAACCTTCTATTGGATTGAAAGGGATCAGATTCACATGATAACCACGACCACAAGTATGAATTAGTTCCGCGAGTTCTGCTGCATGTTCCACTCCATCATTTATCCCAGCTGTTCCACATGTAAGTATCAGGAAAAATGTCAATGGATTATAGTTCAAACTATAATCCGACTATATATCCAGCACAGATGCAATGATTCAAGCCAAGCACCTAAAAGTGTATACTCGAATGTTACTCGGCGTCTGGTTTCCGAAAAGTAATGCTTGCAGTCGTCGATCAGCGCATTCAAGGGGTAAGACTTTGCACTGGGGACTATTGTTTCTCGGAGTTTCTGGTTAGGTGCATGTAAGCTGAAGATCCACAAAGGCATATCAGATCAGCAGTTGAAAGACAACAAAAGATTATAGCTGCAACAAAGGCTCAACTCCATGCATAAGACCCAGCATGATGATTGATTTCACAACCCAAAAATTCTGGTACTGTTTAACAGAATAGTACTAGCATTGCTACATGCAAAAAGTGTACATGAGGTGCGTCTGGTTATTTTGTGCACTTGTGATTCAATTTTTAACTAGTGTAGCCATTAGAAAATTAACATGAAATCTGCAATATCAAAAGCAACACACCGATAAGCAGAGGCGTAGACTTGGTAGTTTATATTGTGTAGTGAAAAAAAAAAAATTTAAGATGCATGCAATTTCACTTTTGGGTTAAAAAAGAAATAAAAGATAATATCATACAACTTTTGGAGTTATAAAAGTGTTAAAAAGAAATACAAGATAAATATCATACAACTTTTGGAGTAATTATTCCAGAGGAAACTTACCTCACAGCCAAAGTTGACTGCAGCTTGTGTGTCGCCAGCATCTTGATTGTGTTGGGAACACCAACTGTTGATATTGTCATCATTCTTTGCCCAATTTGCACATCCTTGAGAGATTCCATGACACGTATAACAATGAAAGAATAAGAAATAAGAACACCTAAACATAGACCAAAATCCTGCACTGCATGCAGGATCATAAGAGATTGCACTGATGGGCACAACCCCACTCATTTTAACAACTTTTTCCCATGACTACGATAGATTCAAGATAGCTATATTTCAAATTGCATGCATGAGGAGGACACATTTCTGAGGAGCTACATTTAGTTGAATGTAAATAATATATATACATAGAGGGTGTTCATAAGATGAAATGCAACTAGTGTATCACATGAAACAAAAGCCTGATGCACATCCAAAGATTGTAACACTCAAGCAAAATGAATTGACTATCTCCATGAAAATACATAGGTTATTTGAAAAAAAAAAGTTGAAATTGGAAATACCTTTTGTGTGGGGATTTCTCTTAAAATTTTACAATTCAATCTAAACATCCCTTCCAAGATTTGGGCATCTCAGCAATTCTGATCGATTGTGCAAATTTTGGAATTTAGGTTCTTTTGGTACTCCTGGAACTTGGGAATCACAAGGATAGGTGCCTCAAAAATTCTAGAATAAACACAAAATATGCAGGGAATTCTCTTAGCAACAAAAGAGTAGGTTGGAAGTTAAATATCCAAGATCGAGATTTCAAAAATGTAGCCAACATAAAATGACTTGAATAACCATCTGGAACTCTCCAAGAAATCCTAGATTTCCAATTCCCAAACCAAATGGATTCATAAGCTTTTTCCTATTACATAGCTTGCTATTTAATAGTGTATATATATCAAGAGAAAAAGATTCAAACAGTGTATCACGAATCAAAATAATTAACTATTATAGATAATTTATCATTGGTCTCCTCTTAGATCAGGTTCCCTTTTCTTTTTTTATGAACGTGGTGAAAATTACTTGCACATGCAATAATTTCATCAGCTGTTGGGAAGGATGACATGTGATATCAATAACCTCTAACACGAATTTCTTTCACAGGCATAAGATACTTCCTATCAGTGTAAGAAAACAAAGAGAATCGAATGTCTGTGACATGCCAGGAAGTGCAACTAACAAAAGCATCAGACAACAGGGAACGGGGTATCTAGATACAAAGAGAAAATGAAATAGCACCATAAAACAGACCTGGCATGCATGTTCTACAGTCTATATTCCAGACAAGATTGTTGTATCTTGTCTCCCACGAAGATAATTTTCATTTTTACAAGTGGCATGTTAATAGGAGAAGAGAAGTGACTTTTCAAATGTTTGCATATCATACTACTTGCTTTCACCTAATGAGGAATATTGTGGCAAATAAGATTATTTGAAAAGCGCAAAGTACAAACAAGAACCACACTAAATTCTGAAGAATGTGTTGGTGACATCTAGATGATGGGGGAGAAAATGATATTGAACATTATTGAGTACCAAGGTCCTGTCCTCTTCATCTAAAGAGAACTATTTCTGTTCCTACTCCTGACATTTTTTTGGTCGAAAATAAAATGGCAGCATATCAGTAAAAAAATATACATGCACTCTTTTGTCAAGCCGCAATATATAAGATGATGGCACATCGGTAAAAGATTACATTGAACCTTGAACTGATGTGCCTTGATTTAAATTTTATTACTCTAATGCTATCCCTAAGCACACAAAAGACGGTCAAACCTTATTGAGGCATGTGTGTGATTCCAGAACTGACTTCAGATTCAACATTGGTTCACCCATGCCCATGAACACGACATTCGTTACCCTATGTTTGAAGAGATCCTCAATAGCCAAGACCTACATCCATAACTAGATTGATCAAAACTCAATGAAGCAGCTCCTAGAAACATCTGTGAACAGCATAAAAAGAAAAGCTGACAGAGTAGGCAAGAACCTGCTCAACAATCTCATGTGGCAGGAGGTTTCTTGAAAACCCACCCTTCCCAGTAGCACAAAACGAGCAACGCAAGGGACAGCCTACCTATGTCATTTACCAATACACAAAAATATATAAATAAAAGAAAAAGGACAAAACTAACTTGAAGACAAAACATAACAAGAAATACAAATTTCTTAGTTTATTAATTGGATGCAGAGTTCAGTTTGGAGAGAAGAAAGAACAACATGTTGATGTTAGCCATCGATGTCTGAACATTATACCTGTGATGACACACAGGCAGTGAGACGAAAGGAACCATTACCATCTTCAACAGGAATTCCTACAGTTTCAATCAATCTGTTGTCTTCCAACTTTATGAGTATCTGCGAGGTCAAAATTGGATGGACTCTGGGCAGTTAACTGAAGTAAGAACATTATGTAGATTGAAAAGTTATAGAAGCATCTCATCGTATTAAGGTACAAATAGAGATTGAAAACACTGGATTAAAAGTTCAAGCTTAAAAATCAGGAAACACCTACGACATTTGGCAACCATCTCTTTTTGTTCTTAATGCAATGTTAGGGACAATGGCTCTACAGGCATGTTCAAGGTATTTATCTAGCAATTCTATATGAGAAATTATCAGCAAGTAAGAGTGTAAGACAATAAAACCAATGGACAATGCAATATGGTTCAGATCCAATCACTTTAGTTCAGTTACATGTATGCTTTTTAGATAACTGCTCATATTGGCAAGAGTTAAGAAGGCATAAGACTCCAATTTACACATTGGAAAACCTCTTTGTTATGCCAAATACGATATTAGAAATGCAAAAATATCTCAACCAAAAACTCCTTTTCTTTTAATTCATTTACTCAATAGGCTTTCCTTCAAGATACTGATTTTCCACATTTATTCCACTCTCTCTACTCAATGTTCAGAACTAGGATGAATGCCACATTTACGACAACCTTATTCTTACAAGCCACCTACAATAGATCATGCGCAAGGGAGATGCTTCTGAATCTAATAATTCAAATATATCCTGGACTCAACTTTCAAATGCTCTGCAGAGTCAAATGCGCAAGTGTGATTTGCAGAGTGCTTGAGCATATTTCAGAAATTCTAATAAATCAAACACCTTCCGCAGCCAACTCAGCAGCGAGAAGTATCAGTTTCTGATCTTGTTGGACTCCATTTCCCAGAATTTGGTGTGAGGCTACGATGGATCCCTCGATTGTGATTTTTATTACTTATACCTGGTATATGTATTGTATGATGATCATCGAAAAAGAGATTATGATTTTAAATCTGTGTTTGTCTATCGATTTTGCATCTCTAGATTCTTAAAAGGGTCTCTACCAAGGTTCGCAATACCGTACCGTACCGGTATTTCGACCTGGGCTCGGTACCGGTACGGTACGGTATACTGAGCGGTACACCTAGATGTATCGAGTACTGTAGCACTGCTACAGTGCACTCGGACCGGTACGTACCACCGTACCGGCGGTACGGCTCGGTACATACCACCCGTACCGGTACGGCAGACCCTGGTCTCTACAAAGTCATGCATGTAGGTACTTAGAAGTCCAGATTTATACATCATATGTGATAAATCTGATTATTATTCTCTATATCTTAGGGAAATGAAGCATTACAGTTATCATGTGGATCAATAATCAAGGTGTGTATTCAGTGACCCGATCTAGCATTAACACATTTTGTTGCCATTGGCAGGGTAACACATTTATTTATGTTTCAAAATCTATGACCTTAACCTAACATTTATTCTAGTGCCCTTCATGATAGCTTAATTGTGTGACTTACATGTTTAAAAATCAGTTAAAAGTCTTATGACACTAAGTATAGCAACAAACTGCAATCAATAGAACATCAGCAAATGACAATCAACCTGGTCTTAAGCTCACTGTCCAACGGATCATTAACTGGAGAGGGAAAAAAAGGGAGATATTTTCACCTTAAGAGTGCCATCAGCTGCGGAAACAACATGATGAACAGGAGATCTCCCAACCCTCCACCCAGCTTCCCGAAGGCTCTCCCGAAATGCTTGTGGCACTGTCACAGCAAAAGATATCATGCCCCGGAAGACATGTCGTGATAGGATACAATGACATAAAATCAAGACCACAAACTTGTAAAGAAACGAGCCAGACGAGATAGAAACCAAATACCAACTCAAGAGAAGACACTCACGATGGCTGAAGTCTTGGATTTCTTTAACCTTGGTCTTGTACAGTAAATCATGAAGCTGCTTCCCTCGATAGCTTTGCTGTGCCGAATAATGCCCCATGAGAACAAAGGGGAAGAGAATAAAAGGGAAAAACAGCGAAGTTTCTCATCGAGGAATTAAAACAAACAGGTGGCAGCTACCAACTACCGGTTTACCTGGCCGAAGTCAAGGGCGAGCTGGCGGAGCTCCGGTTCGGACAAGCCGAGGAGCACGCGGGAGTCCGCCCGGGGCAAGCGCACCGGAGGGGAGGTGGCGATGGAGGCGGCTGCGCGGGAGCGCAGGGCGCGCGCGAGCGGGGCGGTGCACGCGTGCTGCAGCACCGCCATGGGAGGCGACTCGACAAACAAATCAAGAGCAACCGGATAACGAGTTCTGATATTTATAGATTATGGGCTCAATGTGAATAGTATGGGCCCATATTGGGCCCACAGTGGAGCTGTTCCAGCCGAATGTTGGGCCGATCTCAGGCCCAATTAGATGTAATAACATTGAACGCAAAATGGATCAAACTCGAGTTCTTAGACTCGTGTTCCTGTGGCAGGCCATGAAGCTAAAATGGAGGGAATGGTGGATTTGAAGGAGAAGACATTGCACAAGCTACAAGTATATGTTGTCGATTTATTGCAATTAAACCTGGCAAATTTTTTTCGAATAAAAGGATTTTCTTTTATTTTTCTCAGAGTAATAATAGCTCTATACACAGTCAAAAAGTTCAGATTATACATATATTCTATAAATATTCCCCGGTTTTGCTCTACTACTGACATCAGAAAGCAACATCTATTCTTCTCCTCACTCGGTTGCACGAGTAGCCTTTCTGTGGAGCTGTTCTTCCGAACTTCTTCTTTGATTCGACTTACGTGGATAGCTACTGATGCTTTGGCCATTCGACTTCTGTTCATTCCGAGGGCTCATCCCGATGTCCGTAGCATTCTGAAGCTCTTCTAACGCAGCCACCACTTGATCCATGGTTGGCCTGTAGCTCGCTTCTAGCGATAGGCACTGGAATGAGAGAACAGCAGCCTTCTGTGCTCCGACCGGCGAGTACTGCCTTTCCAGTCGTGCATCCAAGACGCGGAAGATCTTTCGCTTGCTGGCGAGATAAGGCCTCGCCCACTCCACTAGATTGTGCTCTCCGGTTGGTCGGTTCTTGTCCAGGGCACGTCGGCCGGACAACATCTCGAGCAGAACAACTCCAAAGCTATACACATCGCTTTTGGTAGTCAGATGACCTGCCAAAGACAATAAGTCGTCAGTACATTCTCATGTTTCAGCATGAACTCGTAAATGCAGCAGAAACCAAATCAAGGAATATATATACTGTCAAGTTGGACAAAGTACAAGCTGCATCGATTCACCATTGATTTCATCGATATAAAAGACTCGATGATTAGAGTCTGCACACAAGATTCAGTGGTAGCACAGGTACCATCAAGCGGCTCATACTATGAGAAGCAAACTGGAGTTGTGTCATCAATCTTAAGTGCAGTCGGTATAAGAGTATCAGGCTCATGTGAAGTATCAGAGTGTAGGAAACTCTTAATAGTTATTCTTGTCGATTCACAACGAGAACCAGTTTTGACAGCTTGGCCGAAAATGATGGCAACATATTATAGGAAAGATGCAAAACCCAACATTTCAAAACATCATAGAGCTTTGTAAGTGAGCATAGAACTTCAGAAATTCACTATCGGTTGGACACAAATTAATGCATCCGTGAAGAATCTACTAAATTGCTATCTCCTGAAGCAATAACGAAAATGACTGAAAAAAAATTTGGATCATTAGGATCATGATGACTATGTGCCAAAGAGCTGGTAATTTGAATACATATATATTATAGGCCAGACTGCAACTACAGCTCTCTCAAGCATGGTCGGAAAAGATTCAGCAAGTATAAGAAGATCACCTGTTGCAAGATATTCAGGAGCAGCATATCCATGTGTCCCCATGATCCTTGTAGAGACATGACTTTTGTCATCGGTTGGACCATCTTTCGCCAATCCAAAATCTGAAAGCTTTGCATCGTAATTCTGTATAGAGAACAAAAGAAGAAACGGCGAATTTGAGATATATCATGTCAGGTTGAAGGAACAGAGAAATATAGAAAACCACTTACAGAATCTAGAAGCACATTAGACGTCTTAAAATCACGATATATGACTTTTGCCATGTCACTATGTAGAAAAGCAAGCCCCTTTGCAGCTCCCAGAGCAATCTTCATGCGAAGGTTCCAAGAGAGTGGTTGAAAATATGAACTCCCTGTGTCAGAGAAGAATGATCTACTTGATCATATACTTCAACAATACTGAACTGTAGAAAGCTTTAAAGAAAGACATTGCATCAATTCAAGAAGGAACGGGAAGGATGTCAATCACAAGAAACATACTTCTAAAGAGATGATTCTCCAAGCTCCCTCGAGGCATGAATTCGTACACGAGAAGCCGTTGTTCATCCTCCAGGCAGTATCCAATGAGCTTTACAAGATGAGGATGAGATAGTTGACCAAGGTAATTTACCTCCGTCTACGAGTTTTTGGGGATTCGCTTATCAGATTAAACAGAAACTGAATAACAACATGATTTCGGCTGCCCGAAAGCACTGAATAAATCAAACAGCAGATTAATTTATTGTCGAAAGGTTAAAAGTTGTGGAAACTTCTAAATTGAGAGGAAAATGATACTTACCAACCATTCCCTGTGACCCTGAACACCTTCCTGGTTAAGCTTCTTCACAGCAATAACCATACCAGTACCGGGCTTGGCAGCAGCAAATGTGTGCTCATCAATCCATCCCTTGAATACCGAACCAAAGCCTCCCTCTCCTAACACACTGTCTGGACGGAAGTTTCTGGTGGCTGTTTTCAGCTCATTAAAGGTAAAACTCCTCACGTTCACTGACTGCAAGATGTCATCCTCACTTCGAGGTGTTGCAGGCACAGATGCTGCAGACACCTTGCTACTGGAACCACTTAACTTCTTTCCTTCTCTGCTCTGGCTTTTAGAATTCACCCCTAGGCATGAAAACACGCCTCCTGCCAGATCACATTCCAGAAAAAAATAAAAGATGATAATAAACAAAAAACTTGAAGCAAACTATCCATGAAGTTCCCATAAACCAAATCAAGATGAATACAAAGACCCACAGGTTGATCATTAAGCCGACATAGTGGATAAAGACCTCGTAGAATGTCTTTAGATTGATGTTTAACTCCATTAAACCTATTGAAAATTAAAGATTGATGTTTAACTCCATTAAACCTATTGAAAATTAAAAAAGAAGTAAAGCATTGTGTTGTTACATTTAAGTACTGGGAACATCATTCTAGCTGAATCCCTTATCAAACCCCTGAGTCCCCAGGAAGCATCAAGGTAAAAGAGCCTATGGAACTGTCTCTAATCATATGCCACAATAATCTCTTAAAACAGAGGTTAAGAATTAAAGAAGATGCAATCACATCCAGTGCAGAAAGTTGCAACTTTAATCTACAAAACAAGCACAAAATTTAGTAAACATAGTCATGGAAGATAAAGATATCTCTACTCTAAATTAACCAAATCTCTGCATCTAGCTAAAAGGGGATCGTGGTTAAAAATATTATTCATGAGAGAAAGCATCAAAAACTCAACCATTATCCGATCAATTAAAATAGTAACCACACGAACTCCATTTTTAGGGATCCTAAAAGTGCCAAACACAAAAGAAACAAACCAAAGTTTCTTACTTTCCATTCCTACATTCCTTTCTAAACCTCAATCAAATTTAAAGCCCGTTCAAAATATCAACCTGTTAGTACCTGAAGTAAAAAGGTTACGGAAGGTACTCTCCGCCTTGACCGGACCACCCCAGCAATTCCCCATCTCGAACTCCAAAGCCGCGACGAGACAACCTCCTACTCGTTCTCCAACTACGCACCGGTAGCAACAACTTAAAAAGGCAGGGTTCCGTGACGGAGGGCCACCGGGATCCGCCGAGGAGGAACTCCTTCCTGTCCAGAAGCAACACCGAACCCGAGTGCACCGAGCTCAAAACCTCCTCGAGCGAGTTCCGACCGGCCAAGAACGGTCTCGGCTGCCGGAACCCCAAAATGGAAGCTCCGATTCAACAGCGGGGCGATGGTGGCGACGAAACAGCGAGGAGGAAAGGAGAGCCAAAGGTGGCTCCTTTCTTTCGCCCCTTCCGCTGTGTTCTCCTAATACTTGCCCCTTCAACGCAGATTAGTTTCATACTGTGGGGAGCGTAGGCCCGGATCCGATTTTCTGTTCCCAACAGACATCATCACAGACACAATTCATCATCCGACACGTAATGTTTAATCATGACGTGTCGATCTGTAGTTGGTGAAACAGATATCCTGTGCTTGAGATAGAACACGAACTATTCCAGATTTGAGAATTAATGGCGGGCGACGGCCACCGGTTCGTAACGGAATCCGAGCTTATCCGATACAATATTTATTATTATCGCTAGTATCGCGCGGTAGGTACCGTTTTCGGGTGGCTAATCAACTTAGTTGGAGCGGGCGGTGGATGAACAGCCGTCGGATCGGAATCGGACGGTGGTGAGCTCGTTGGACGGTGGTCTAAGTGGACCTGCATCCACCGCCGCGGCAGGTGGACCTTTTCCGTCGGCTCCGGTGAACTTGACTTGCGTGCTTCTTGTCGTACCTTATAATAATAATAATAGCATTAAGTAGTACAAAAAATCACATTTTTAGAGCATCGAGGCTGCAATACATGTCACCGCAATCACTTTTGTTCGTATATCCAGCTGAGACTTCGAAGTCGGAACAAATCTAGCAGAGAAGGCTTGTGGACTACTCAAAATGTCTTTTAATTATAATTTAATTTTAGTAGAACTGAGCTGAGCTGAATTGAGCTGTAACAGAGTATAAAAATAGTTGGAGAATGGAAGTATGATCGGAAAACAAGTGATACAGGGGAGATGAAGCCAGGATAATTGAGAGGCGTCTTAAGCTACTTTTGGTTCGTGGCTGTTCTACGCACTGAGACAAGTAGATCATAGTTTGAACTTGAAAGGTAGATATTTGCCCACCAAATTGTAGAGTAAACAAAGAAGACCACTTTCACGTCAGTAATGTGTCATTTGAGGAGGAGCAACCTAATCTGACTTTTAGAAGTATGAGAAAACAGAGTTCCACAATTGGATACAACTCTTAATGTTTTTTTGAATGAAGTAAGTCTCTGTTTCTGCTTTTAATATGAAGCAGGACTCTGTTTCAAGTGTGAATCCTTGTGCATTTGGTGTAGAGAGTTGTTCGTTCATATTTGTGTGTGCAGGAAGAGGCTCTGTCACCTTCCGTCTTCTTGTTGTTGGGTAGAGATAGGCAGCCACACCTTTGACTATTCTTCTTCCTCGTGAGATCGTCTTCTTCTTCTTCCTCCTCCTTGTTTCCACCTGCAATGTCTGATGGAGGAGGGCTCCATGACAAGGACCAGATTCCAGTTTTCTATGTTGTGACATTAAGATTGCATTGACAAATTAAGAGATGGGAAATCTAGATGGATTTGGGTCAAAAGCTGTATGATATTTCATCTTTCAGCCATCTGAAATGCCTCGACACGTAGGACGTATAGTGTTCCTCGTTTGAACGTCTCGGGAGAACGAGTCTCAATGCTTGTTCGATTTCATTGCATGAAGAAGAAAATAACAACAATAGATGTGACCTACTTCGCCCATTCACCGTGGACTCCATTGACATAATAGTTGGCCAAAGCGAAAAATATGCTCGGTAAGAATAACATACACTTTTAAGTCATATTAAATTAAAATTTGATTGTCTGATTAGAGTACTGGATGGAAAATGTTGAATCTCGCAAACTATTGAACCCTACAAAATTGTATTATAGTCATATATGACGAAATTCCTAATGATGTTAAGGATGGTTACGTGTATCTCTTGATCCTATATGAAACTATATGAATCGTATTGTTTAAAATTCATATGACGTTTAATAATTATAATATGATTGGTAATGTACGAGGGATGGCTCAATATCAATAATATACAATTGAAATGTTAGAGATGTAACATTGAAATATCAATTGCGTAGCATCGGGATATCGACGGTGTGATTGTTAGGGTGTTGATCACGTCATTATTTCATTCTCCAATTCAAACTAATTTTAATAAATGAAAAAGAAAATAAATGTTAGCAGAGTAAACTTTGAAACTCCAAAACTTTTATAGCATCTATTTTGATTACGAAATAGATGAAATTATATTAATGTAAAAAATATTATAATAATTATTTTTTTATCTATAAAGGACAAATAATTAAGATAAATTTTGATCATAAGACCTTATAATTTTTATTATTATATTTTTTAAATCAGAAATATATTTAATATGCTGATTCAAGAGTACTGAAATTATGATCATGCTTACATTATTAAAATAATTAATAAAACATTAAATATTAAAATATTTTATTATTAACTAACTATTTTAAATTAATAAAATTGGCAATCTTCTTTTTATTTATGTTCGTAGCAGCATATACCGTTATAATAGTATCCGGATCGGGTGTAACGTTTCGGCTGTTGGCCGCCTGCAAATGCGAAAAGGACCAAATCCTTACTTCCCGCCATCGAGAAGGGTGTATATAAGTATATTGAGCGGGAATGGGCGCCAATAGTAACTAGGGTTTCTTTTCCGCTTCGCTCACCCGGAATCTCCATCCCATCTGCGACGGTTCTACCAAGAACCCTAGATTTGCGATCAATGGCGGGCCAATCCGATCCCCATCTGTCCGTCTTCACTCCTCCGGAGGTGCGTATGTCATCTCATCGCTTCCGATCTCTTCAGTACGAGCGATCCTGATGTATGGGGATTGAACCTTTTCTTCAGGTGGAGTTTCTCGCGGAGGATGAAAAGGTGGAGATCATCCCCAAATTGTCACTGGGGTCTCTGCACATGATCTGTGTAATTTGATCTCTTTCTTGCCTTCCCCATTACCGTCGTGGATGTGGGTTTTGTTCTGATGAGAACTGTGGATGGCTCTAATCCGTGTAATTGATGGTGATTTTGGTGTTCGTGCGATGTCAGGGTGATTTCGGTCCTTTCCGTCCGAACATTGCTAGCGAAGTACCGTTGTGGCTGGCGGTGGCTCTGAAGGAACGCGGAAAATGCGACATTCGTGCTCCTGATTGGATGTCAGTTGGTGAGAGTTTATTCCTTTGCTGCTGTTCAAATGGTTGCTTTCACGAGGTTTGAAGGTTAAATATAAAGAGTTATTACTTCAAGTTAAGTCACTGATCGTTCAGTGATTACTGAATTAGACATTATGTTATGCTGTTAAACCGAGATCCAGAATGGAGGTGCGTACATCTGCATGCTTGATCAGTATGCATGACACATTGGGATGTAATTGGGCCTGTGTTGGCAGCCTGGCACCACATATCGTGATACTGTGGCTCTTTTATGCTGGTAAACAAAATTGTGCTAGAATGTGGTTGTCCATCAGAAGTTGAAAAATATCATTTACAATATGTATGTATTATGTATGTATGTATAACTTGAAATTTTTTATGATTCTAGAGGCTTGAGCATTTATATGAAATAAAACTGAAAACCAGTCATAGTACTCTATATATATTTTTTTGTCTGTAATGGTCATGTTTCTATCTCATAGAGTTCAAACAAATTGCCTTATGCTTTATAGTGTTATGCTGAAAGAGTTAAATGTTGTAGGTTTTTAGTCCAGAATACCGGCTGAACTTTTTGATCTGTACAAGTCTATTGATATACTCTTATCCTCAACATCTGTATTGCATCAACCACAAAAAAATAGTGCAAGAGTCCCATGTCAACTTTCTTTCAGGACTACACACTATATCATCAAGGCTTCTTTCCTGAGGGTTGTACTGCTTTTGTTGGCTAATATTTTTAGTTTTTTCCACTATCAGATTTCTCAAGGTCTATATTCAGTTTGTGACCTTTTACGTTGTATTCATCCAGCAATAATTGGCTTCAGATAAAACATCTTTTGCTTTGGGGGTTCTTTTAACAGACATCAAGTTGATTGCTATATGTCAATGTTTATAGTCCTTCATTTCATCCTTGTTCTATTTTTTTCTTTCTTTTAAATGACTTCTGCTTTAAGGGCATTACTATTTTCTGGCTCAAAATATCGTAGTTCACTCATTTTTCATTTGCAGATAAGTTGATGCAAATCCTAGAAGCAGAACGAGAGTCTCCTAGGGAATTTCAACCTCTGCCTTTCCACTACATTGAAATTTCAAAGCTTTTATTTAAACAGTATATGATCATCCCATGTTTCGTTTCTCTTGCCTTCTTATATTGCCATTATTGAGATGTTAATCTAATCATGGTCCTCTCCAGTGCTCATGATAATATCCAAGATATATACATGGTGAGCATTAAATGCACAAATGCAAGTTGTACAGCGATCTATATTTCTTTGTTCTCATTGTCAGTCATGATCATACAGGTGAGATCTTTAATTGAGGATATTAGAGATGTGAGGTTCCATAAGGTGGAAAGTGGCTTGCAGACGATATCTGGTCGTACACATGCAGTAAAGGTATACATACGATGGATCCATTTATTTCCTTTATTTAAGGACATTATTTTTTTATCTGTATCACTGTAAATATGACTGTTTTAGGGGAACAATGAAATTAAATATGTATAAATCTGCTCCAGAAAATATTACAGGCAGGACTCTTAATGTAAAGAGATTGTCAAATGCCTGGTGAGGTAAACTCTTGACCCTTGGAACCTAGTGTCAGCCAGTCAAATAGTTGTTTAATCCAAGTCTGCAGACCTTAACTGCTCCTTCAGTATTCCCCTTTTTTTGCTTGTTTTGAACACAGTATTTCTTTTTTTGCACATGCATGTTTTATAGCTACATGAGAGTTTAAAGACTAAAGATAGTCTATAGAGGCTACATATAGTTGTTGGAGTCACCTTAAGGACCACAAATCGGTTGTTGGTCACTTTTTGTGTTGTGTGTGTGTGTGTGTGTGTGTACATATGTATATATATATATTTGTGTGTGTGTGTGTATATGCATGCGCGTGCGCGCGTGTGTGTGTGTATATACTGATGTCTAAGTTGACCAAATGAAACAAATGTTCTATATTTTCTTCCTTGTATGTAACCCTAATTAACAAATAGCAAGAGACTTAACACTTTTTTTTTACTGACTGAAATTTTGATCTACTTTTGTTTGACTCTTTGTGGCTTATCTTAAATGAACCATGACTTTTGACTATTGTCTATGTAATTGTCAACTGTATGAAGTATGCGAAAATATGACCTGAAATGGGAAAAATATATTGCTAAAATTTTAGAACATTTGTCTCATGCCTTGTTTTCAAAACTGAAAATGGTTTTCCAAGGTGGACTCTCTGCTTGTTCCCTCTCTTTCTCTCTCTCTCTCTCTATAGACACACACACACACACACACACACACACACACACATGCACACAGACCATGAATAGCCTGCAATAAGATCATGAGTGTTGACTACCCTGATTACATATATCAAAAATTGAACTCTTGCCTTATATGATAATTTCTTATTGCAGCTAAAAAATCTCTCTGCAATGGAAGTAAATATAGTGCGCCCATTCATGATAAGGACCTTACAAGCTTTCTATAAACATGACAGTCCACATATTATTCAGCAACCTGAGAAATCAGGTAGCAGACGTCCACAAGCACCAGACCGCGGTCCAAGAGTAAGTTGTTTAGTGTTTGTTTTTCAGTAGTTGCTGTTTTCGCTTTGCACTAGAATCAAATGTCAAATATAAGTCTATAATGTATAAGCAGCTTGTCCAAGCATTCATGTGCTAATCTTACTTTTTTAGCATTCATGTGTTCAGTGTCTTCATAGTACATTCTTTTCCTACGGCTCAGACTAATCTTTTAGAGCTATTATGGACCTTATCCACCCTAGTTATGCTGGAATTATTTGATATCATTCGAATAGCCAATCCTATCCGGAAATTCCAGTACGGTTTCCTAGTACAATTGTATTGGTACTATACGCTTTTACATCAGGTAACCTTGCGGTGTATTAATGATTCAAATATTTCTGATTGCTTGATTTGCCTTTAGATGCTTTAGGTTCATTGGAAAAATATATTGTTGCCTGTTTAGATTTGGTCCGATGCCCTCTTCTTTTCTGCATATATACCAAATCATGAACTTGCATTGGGCAGTAGGATTCTGCTATAAGGTACTACTTGGTGAAGCTACACAATCAAAACAAGAAATATTGGAAAATGGAATCTAGAAAAAAAAAATCAAGCACTTCATGATGAACCATCATGTGATCATTGTTTAAAACGATTTTGCTAGTATATACTAGAATTGTTGATGAAAAAAGAACTGACATTAAGTTGTGTTCTTTGCTCCTTTTCAGCGAGATCTTCGGCGGAGGTAGATGCACCAAAGTTATTTGTCTCAATTGGCAAATGATGATATCAAACTTCTGTCATGAATGTACGTGTATAATGACTAAGGTAAATATTATTTCAATTACTTTTCAAGAGACTTGTTAAGCTTAAGTTTGCGTATTATTTTGTATAATGGATATTTATTAAGTTACTCATTGTAGATCTTACCGTTGCCCATAGTAATATGACAGTGATTTTTGTGAACACTAGACGACACCGATATGGATTTTGTGTATTGTATCAGATAACTCCAACAATGCTTTCCACTTTCTTTTTGGAATCCAGCTGCTGAATAATTAATTATAACTGATCTGGAAAATTCTGGATCGTTGTTTGGTTAGTGGATACAGTAGAAGCTTGTTCACACAACGTCATTATGATAGGGATCAATTACTAATGTAGCTAGCTCCCATCTATTAAGGTAGGCTGTGGTGCTTTTGGCTATAATTTACGGTTAATTTTAGATTATGAAGTTAATTATCTTTAATGTTTTGATTCTTATATCTTAAAAAGTTACATTAGTATTTTTATAGTGAAATATTTAGATTTATTTATTCTAACATTGTTGATCTTATTAATAAAAATATAAAAATAAAAAATAAATTATAATTTTAATATTTTAATTGATAGTGGATGACATTGGTGGTGGTGAACGATAATATCATCGGGGGTTGTGGATGGTTGTTGTAGATGAGAGCAATGATAAGGAGTGAGGGTTATTCTATATTTGTTGTTAATATTAATACATTTATCGAATGGTTCTTTTATCGTTCTGTATCTGTATCAATGTCGATATAATTATCGATCGATATTGTTTTGATCGATGTTGTTTTATATCTATGTTGGTGGTTCTTTTGTTATTCGATAATTGCATGACGTAATTACAAAATAACATCTTTTGACATTTGCATTGGTGGTACTTTCTTCGTTTAACATAGGATTTGTAAATGACTATTGTAAATAAAAAGAACGATGATAAGAGGTGAGAATTACTCTACATCTATTGTAAATAAAAAAGAACAATATTATCATCCATCATCATCAATTAAAATATCAAAATTATTTTTTTAATTTTAATTTTTATATTTTATTAGTAAAATTAATGATAATATGTTAAATAAATATAGATAATTTACTTTCGTAAAATAATAATTTTTTAAAATATAAAAATTTGTACTCCTTTTCTGAACAGATCTTGCACTATTCATCTTCGCACACCCAACTCACTGATCCGTCAACATATCCCATTTTCAATTATTTGTACTGTATGATTACGTGTCGCTGCCGGAGATGCTACGGTGATGTGTCAAGTATCGGTGAAACTGGGTTCAACGCTGTCCCCTCTATGGTTTTGTTTTTGGTGACATTTTCCTTTCTGTTGCAGCCTCTACAGAAGAAAGTGACGTTCCCAACGTGATAGGGAAGAGCAAGAAAGGCTTCTTTTATTCTCTCCGTTGGAGACTGCCACTCGCCGGTTGTCTTCAATATTCTGTCAGTGGAACCACTTTAACGCAGAAATAAATATCGCTCGTCAGTCGCGTAGAACTCGTGTGATCGATCTACTTTACTTTCTCTCCCGCGTGTACTCTTCCGTTGCTCCAAAGCTTAACATACCTCACGTAAAACTCGTGTGACTGACCCACCACTCTCGCTCTCTCTTTATCCTCTATCGCAGGGAGAACGAGTCCAACCCACCTTAGCCCTTCCCCAATCGTGGCATCATGAGCGATGAGCCGTTTCTGCGTTGTGGATCCCTCGGCGGGGTTGAAGGAACGGTGCTCCGTTTGTTTGGTTTGTTGGTTTGCTTCCTCCCCTCGAGACTTCCTCACTCCCTCGGCTTCTCCGTCTCCTCTTATACTCGATCCCTCGTTCGTAGATAGCCCCCGAGAAAGAACGAAAGAAAGGAGCGAGCGAGTGTGAGACATGCCGAGGAGCGTGCTTGCCGGTTCCATTTCTTCCCCTAAGATCGATGTTGTCATCGACACGGGAAATCCCTTCCTTAACCGCACCGTCGACGGCTTCCTCAAGATCGGAACTGTATCCACTCCACTCCCTCTTTTCTCCCCTTCCCTCCCCTTCGGTTACCTTCTTCTCATGCCTCACCGTTTGCACAGGTCGCCGCTTCCAAGGTTGCCGTGGAGGAAACCTACCATTGCATGGATAAAGGTAGTTCCGTCCCCCTATCTCCGATTCAGCTTGCTTTTGCCCTTCTACTTGCTTTCTCATCCGTTCTCTGATCTCGATTTTGGGTTGTAGTCATAAGGGCTAATGTGTTGCCGATGCCTGTTCTTGCATTTTAAACGAAATTGATTTTGCTGACACGATAAGGGAATGCCCATTTTCTTTTCTTGAAACATCGTAGTACTTTATTACTTCGAGATGCTGAATAGGTAGTTTTCGTCGTGAATGGATGATTTTTAGATGCATGAATGGACCGCTTTCTAGTGATGGGATTACTTCCGGAATCCACTTTGAATTGGAAGCATTCGTGATGCTTAAATTTCCTCGTGCGAGAAAGAATAGTCATGCATCTAATAAGTGCCTACCAATTTTTGCTTGGTCGATCATCTTTGATATGATTCCCTGGTTGGGGATTGAAGTGAATACTCATCAAAGCCACATGCCTTCAATAATTTGTAACTGGTGGGTATGGAGTTAGATCGAGACATCAGTCCCATTAGTAGTGATAATAAGTGTGGGCTAGGATTATTGCTATTTTCCCACAACTAACTAGATTTTTGGTTGTGGTGATGATCAATGTCGTTGCTACTGCCTTTCCAGTCTGAATTTGAATTAGGAAATTTCTGCAGCAATTGGAACAGTAGGATCTGATACTAAATCTTTATCATTTGGGCTGGTTTGGCTGCTTTTTCCATTTATGGGGTTGGTCTTTCGAACGCACCAATAAGGGAGAACTCTAGCACTAGCTTGGTGGATGGGTTCTTTTGCTCTCCAGTTTTGTTATGATCGTTCATTATAGGTACACCACCACGTTAGGATCTCTTAGTTCCTCCTCTGGAACTTTTACCTTCTCATAAATATTGCTAAGAGGATGTTGTGTTCCAATATGCAATCTTACCTGTTACTTTTATATAAATGTGACTTACGTGTCTACATTTTTTGCAGGGAGTATCAGCAAGGGAAAACTAGAGGCTGCTGTAAGTACAAATTGACTGTTTCATTTGTTAGTGTATCAAGCGTTGGGTACATGTTGATATTATGATGCCTTGTGATCCTTTTACACAGCATGATGTGAGTAAAATTTGTCAATATGGCAACTCTCTGATGTCTTGTTAGTTCTTCCTGTTCTAAATGTTAGCTTTTTCTGCAGCTTGCTCTTCAGAGTACCAGAGATTATGCATCAACTTTCATCTTTTCTTGTATACCACTAGTAGTACATATCCCCATAAGTGTACTGAGAGCTGTAACAGTATATGTCTCCTTGACCTATTCATTGGCTAGTTATAAAGGAAAACCATCTTGACTCGGTTGGTTGTAATAATCAATATAATACCTAATGCCTTAACCAGTTAATTCTTGTTTATGTCTAGGATTCAATCCTAGGAAAAAACTGGTAAAGAATATGGGCTAACACCATGACACAACTCGAAAGCATGCTAGTTGCCTGGGTAAAATAAGCTGGTGTTTAGCATATTGCCTGCGGAAAATGTTAACAGCAACAATAACAAAGCTATTAGTCCTATCTATTTGGGGTCAGCTGTATGAACTTTTACTATCGTTGAGATATAAAAAAAATCATATGTTTAGTTTAGTTAGAGTATTTAAATTCTTTTTTATTTTAGTGTTGCTTGAACATGGTTAATTGGGTATTTCCTTTTTCTTCTTCTATAATCTGATATCTGTATGACAAGTTCAAATATAATAGAAGGGCAGCCTTAGTTTCTTTGTTATGTAGTAATTATTTGGTGAAAATGGATCACCCTGATCGGTTATCACAACTCAAGTGCATGACAAGAAGTTATGCTTTCCTGGTAACTAATTGTGTTATTGAGGCATCTGGCTTGACTAATGCAATATTATTTGCTGAATCTAAAGACTAAGAAACTTAGAATTTCCCATAAATTAGTCCATCACAAATCATCGTGTATTCTCCGCCATTGTTTATACAAAGAAACTGAACATGAAAATCATGTTCCTTTGTCACTGACGCTGTGCTACGACTGCAGCTGAAGAAGATGTGTAAAGAGGGAGTATATTGGGGTAAGCTTAACGTTTTCAACATCAGCAAAAATAGGCTGCTGCTTCTTAATTGGTGCACTTTTGGTGCTTACTTTGTTGTGTTATTTCTGTGCAATACATTATTATAGGAACTGCAGCTGGGGTATACGCGGGAATGGAGTACGGTGTGGAAAGGATCCGTGGTAAACGAGACTGGGTAATCTTGATTCCTCTGTGCTTGGATGCATCATCACCTCTGTTGAGCTGATTTATCTGTTCTCAAGTTCATCTCAAATGTTTCTCATTTTCACATCTTGTTTTTATATTCAAAGGTTATATAAATGAGTAATTTGTGAACAATGTTTGTTTCCTGGTCTAATTATTTGCCATCTCTTGGTGAACCGGAAAATTAGACTAAGGTGGAGCAGATTTTGTGTATTTTGTTGGTCAGATTATAGGATTCTCATAAACCTCTTCTTACTCTTGCAGAAGAATGCAACGCTTGGTGGTGCGATAAGTGGGTTGCTTATTTCAGCAGCCAGCAATAATGGAAGAGACAAGGTTATCAAGGATGCTATCACCGCTGGTGCTGTAGCTACTGCTGCTGAATTTATCAACTATTTCACTTGATGTGTTATCAGATCACCTTGTAGTTTATGCAATTAGTTATGTTAAATGATTCCGTCGCCGTGCTTGTCACCTCTCATCTTCACTTGATCAATGATGTTGAGGATCTGGATCAAGTGGAAATCATATATGGGTGACTATCCTTGTAGTGAACATTTCCCTATTTAATAAAATGAAGGCTGGAGCAGAGTCTGTATGATTCGTGTTTTCATTTCTACACTTGTTATCGTCATAGGTCTCTGAAATTTGAAACCTGACTGTGGTGTGCAGGGCTGGTCGATGCCTGATGATTAGAGAGGGCTCCTCCAGCAACATGGACTGTGTTTGGAGGAACATTTGCCTGTTCTTCCCATCATTATTCTTGAAGTTGAATCCTCGAACAAGCTGCATATCAGAGGTATAATTCTAATGCAGCTGCTGCAATCTCAATCGTACGACCAAGTTCCTTCATCCCAAACAGCCAACTGGAATCATGAAAGGTTGAATGTGTCAGCAACTGAGACGGCTCTGTTTCTCATGAGACTAGTTTTGGTCGATCCTTATCACTATACTGTAACAAGAACTGTGGACACCCTCTGTTTGATGTGGCTTTTACGTCCGGAGGACACACACCAGGGATGGATCCTGTTCGCCTCGCGAACCTTGACACATACAACCAAAAGAGTCACGTCTGTGCTCGTGACACCATCATTGCAGTTCTTGAAATTTCACTGACTCATGGTTTTGATTCTTATGGCCACAGTGTTTCCATCCGCTCGGGTGCTCATCGGAACGGGGATTCCAATCCTTCAGAGAAGATCCCAAGTTCTTCGACGGATCATCATGATTGGATGCTCACAGAAGGTATTTTTCTCTCTTTGTTCGGGTTGATTGGTTGATTTAATTGACAAATGATATGAACAAACCATTTCGAAAGATGAAATGATACATAATATCAATCAGGAGATCAAGTGAAATTGCTGTGATTCAATTATCTAGTAGTGGTTCTGTGAGATCATAGTCCAAAGCACATTATTATCTTTGTAAGTGTTTTCTTTGTCATCTCAATGAATGTCCGTGGATGATGAGTCAACTTTCCATCGTTCTCATGATCAATCTACCTCTGACAGGCTGACACGGCGATAGCGACTCCCACACGAAATCAATGACGAAAGTGAAACATGGCCTTTCCTTCAAGCTAAAGGAAGAAGAAAAGTTGCAGATGGACAAGTTGCACACGAAATCATAGAGATTGCATTCACATAGTAATTATCTTAGAACACAGAGTCAAGAGTCATACATCCACAACTACAATCTAAAACGAGGAAGAGAGAGAGGTGTTCTTTCTCATACATCAGCCAACCATATCATCTTATTTTATAGCAGTAGTAGGACTCACTCTCTAGACACAAACTAGGAAGCACCACAGAGACCAACACCAGCACTCATGCTCCGTCTCTCTCTCTCCTTCCTTCCTCCAAACCGCTAAAGCTTGTCACTTGCAGTTGCAGGGGTCGCAGGTGCAGTTGGAGCCGCACTTGCACCCGTTCTCGGACCCAGCGGCCGTCTCAAGCTCCTCAAAGTGCCTGTGAACCAAAAACCATCACACGGTCAACATGAAGCCAAAGAGAAATGAAAGGGATCAATCGGAAAGAACAGCAACAGACCCCTTCTGAGGTGCAACCCCCATGATCATGGTCTGCGAGGTGCTGCTCCTCTCCTCACCCAGGTCAGTAAGCTTCCTGCATCTGCACACACCCAAAAGAGAAAAGGTAAAACATATGGATTCCATACACAACTCCAAACCTAGACCAGCTTTTCTTCTGTTCCTTACCCTCCACAGCCGCTGCCACAGCTGCAGCTGGATCCGCACCCACAGTTCCCTCCGCTGCAAGACATTTCTCTCTCGTCTACCACACAAAGCAACACCAAAAGAAGCCTAAATTGAATTGGACTCTTCACGGGATTAGGCACGAATGCTCGGGTACCTTCCCGAGCCTCTCTCTTTATAGAGGCGAAGACCCGTCATCCACCGACCACGTGTCTAGCACGGAAATCAACGACGAGGTGGCACGCGCTCGACCACCCGTACGTCCCACCTATTCCGCCTCGGTCGCGGAAATAAATAGTTTGACACTGACGTCCCACCCGACGCGACGTGTTGTGGTCCCTCGTGCGCTTCCACTAATCGAATCGCAGGTATAGTGCGGAGTAATCCGCTGACAGTTCACATATATAATTATATATTTAGATATGCTATCTTATAGATAATTAATTCGTAGAAAATTACAAATATTTGATCTGTATATTATTATATTAGAACGGGAGATAATTTAAACTAGATGATGCACTAAGTTTAGTGGAGTTTAGAGTGATGTGCGTCGGAAAGAGACAATAAGATTCGTGGAGATTGGAACACCAGTAGATCAATGAAATTTCAACCTGGATGATCGTGACAGACAGGTAGATGACATTAAAGGATGAATTGAAACAGAGGACTCGAGATACGTCGAGGCAACGCAGGAGGGATGCAATTTTGATGATCCGAATCTTCGTTAACATATATATATAAACTATTGTCGGATATGTTCCTGACATAGTGATGGATGGAATGGTCTCAGATAGGGTTGGCAGAATTTTGACTTGGGATTGACTCGGTTTTCATCTAACAATAATGAATTTTAAGGGAGATAATTACAACATATTTTTTCTGGGTTTTGGAGGAATAAATATGTTAATTTTGAATTTAGAGTTATGAATATGAAAATTACACAGGATTTTTTTTTCTTCTAAAAAAAAAGAAAATAAAAATTCAAGAAAACATCATCGATCTTGCTTTATCCGAGCTACTGAGGGCGGAGAGCACGCGCAAGGTAGCGCTGATACCGGCGGAAGACGATGGTCCTGACGGCACCGAACTCCACCTTAATCTACTTGCCTCCTCCCATCCCTCCCCACCGCCATCCACAGACGTCCACCACCATAAGAGCACAACTCAAGCAGCAGCAGAGAAGTAACAGAGCTGTCGCCTCCCTCTCCGTATCCTCCTCCCATGTCTCGCTCCCGCCACCTCCACCTACCTCGCTCCCTCAGCGCCTGGGCGCCCTCTGCGCCCAGGGCAGCCTCGACGAGGCCCTCCACCTCCTCCTCGTCGCGGAACCCGCCGGCTTGCCCCCCCTCGCCGATGGCGTCGGCCTTCTCCTGCAGGCCTGCGGTGCCCGGGGCGACCTCGAGCTCGGCCGCCGCGTCCACGGCGTCGTCGCTTCCTCCGAGGGCCTTATGTCCAACCCCGTTCTCACCACCCGCCTCCTCACCATGTACTTCGCCTGCGGCTCCCCTTCCGACGCCCGCCGCGTCTTCGACGCCCTCCCCCGCAGGAACCTTTTCCAGTGGAACGCCATGATCAGCGGATACGCCCGCAACGAGCTCTTCGTCGAAGCCGTCGACACCTTCTTGCTGCTGATGTCCGCGACCGAACTCAGACCCGATAACTTCACCCTCCCCTGCGTCTTGAAGTCCTGCGCGGGCCTGTCGAACATGTCGACCGGGGAAGCCGTGCATGGGGTCGCCGTGAAGCTTGGATTGGGTTCTGATACTTTCGTGAACAATTCACTGATATCGATGTATGGCAAATGCGGTTACGTCGATGAGGCAGCTCACGTGTTCGATACAATGCCTGAGAGAAACTTGGTTTCTTGGAACACGATGATGTCTGCTTTTTCCGACAACGCCTTGTTGCAAGATGGATTCGATTTGTTCAAAGAGATGCTGTCGGTCGATGAAGAGAGTATGAGACCCGACGATGCAACGGCGGTGACAGTGCTGCCCATGTGTGCGGTTGATGGATGGCTTGAGATGGGGAGAGTTGTACATGGGATGTCGGTGAAGTTGGATTTGGATCATGAACTCAGAGTGAGTAATGCGTTGGTCGATATGTATGCAAAGTGCAGTTGTTTATCGGATGCACAATTGCTTTTTGGCCATAACCAGCAGAGAAATGTTGTGTCTTGGAATGCAATGATAGGTGGTGTTGCAAGGAATGGAGATGTAGATGGGGCCTTCGATCTTCTGCGTGAAATGCAATCAGAGGAGGGCATAAAGGCTAATGAAGTGACTGTCTTGAATGTTTTGCCTGCTTGTTTGGGACCATCGGAACTACAACATGTGAAGGAACTCCATGCCTATGTTATCAGAAATGGGCTACAGACTAATGACTTGGTGCCGAATGCTCTGATGGCAGCTTATGCAAAATGTGGCTTGCTGGATTCTGCAGATAATATCTTCAAAGATGTGGAGATCAAGACCGTCAGCGCATGGAATGCGCTGATTGGTGGTTATGCACAGAATGGTGATCCAAACAAGGCTATAGAATTATTCCTTCGGATGTCGTCTTCTGGTTTAGAGCCTGATTGGTTTAGCGTAGGAAGTTTGCTGCTTGCTTGTGCCCATCTACAGGATCTTCTTAATGGCAGGTCTCTCCATGGTTATGTCTTGAGGAATGGATTAGAAAAGGACTCGTTCATTTTGATTTCACTTCTTTCGCTTTACATCCAGTGTGGAAGATCACAGGAAGCGAGGCTCTTGTTTGACGCTATGGAGGACAAAGATTCTGTCTCGTGGAATGCTATGATTGCTGGGTACCTTCAGAATGGACTTGCACAGGAGTCGCTCCAACTATTTCGTCAGATGCAACATGAAGGATATGAACCTTCTATCATTGCAACTACCAGTGTCTTCATGGCTTGTGCTGAATTATCAGCCTTGCCGCTAGGGCAAGAGGCACATTGCTATGCGTTGAAGGTTGGCTTCACTGCAGACACCTTCCTCGGGAGCTCAATAATTGATATGTATGCAAAATGTGGTTCCATAGAGCATGCTCGCACCTTATTTGACAATTTGAAGGACAAGGATGCTGTTTCATGGACTGTGATGATCACGGGGTATGGCATTAATGGTTATGGTAGTGAAGCTATAGATCTCTATAATGAAATGGAAGGCCATGGGTTGAAGCCTGATGCTTTCACCTATCTTGGTATTTTGATGGCATGCAATCACGCAGGACTGGTGGAAGAGGGACTCAGGTATTTTGAGTATATGAAGAATAAGCATAGTTTGGAGCCAAAATTGGAGCACTATGCGTGTGTTGCGGACATGCTTGGACGGGTAGGTAAATTAGCTGAAGCAGCAAGGATAATTGAAGATATGCCAGAAGAACCTGATGGCAGAATATGGAGTGGATTGCTCGCCGCATGCAGAACTCATGGAGACATATGCTTGGGGGAGAGAGTCATCGAGAAGCTGTTAGAATTGGAGCCTGACAAGGCTGAACATTATGTTTTGGCATCAAATCTTTATGCAAGCTCGGGGAGGTGGGATGGTGTTCGAAGAATCAGAAACAGGATGAAGGAGATTGGCCTCCAAAAGGACCCTGGTTTTAGCTGGATAGATGTTGGTGGTAGAGTTTTCGATTTTGTGTCGGGAGACAATAGACTTCCAGAATCTGACGAGATTCATAGAATGTGGTGCTCTTTAGAGGAGAAGATACGCGGTATCGGATATATTCCTGACACTAGTTCAGTGCTGCATGAGAAAGGAGAGGAAGAGAAGCTGAAGATATTGCGAGGTCACAGCGAGAAGCAAGCAATTTCTTTTGGACTGCTGAAGACAAGCGGGAACAAGAAAATAAGGGTGTGCAAGAACATAAGGATATGCAGAGATTGCCATAATGCTGCTAAGCTGGTATCAAAAGTGGTAGGCAGGGAAATTATCGTGAGAGATAACAAGCGGTTCCATCATTTTAGAGATGGTTGGTGCTCTTGTGGTGATTTTTGGTAATGGTTATGCATCCGACCATAATTTAGTTTTCTCAAGCAGCTGTCATGTTGGAGATTTCAGTTTGGCTGGAATTCTAGGGTTCCAGTCATGAACATTACAAGAAAATATGGAAATTCTTGAATGGTCCTATCGAATAACTCTCATATCAGATCAATTCCGACACCCAATTTACAAGCCGTCGCACCCAGCATGAAGATTGGTGGCTGCCAAATTCTCCTGATGGTATAGAATTCTAATATCCTTTCCCTATATTATGCCTGCACTTGTTTCCCTATCTTTTGATGCATTTGAGCCCATGTAGTCTGACTTATCTGACCTGAAGCCAGAAGTATATGATCTCTACCAAGTCATACATTCTTTCTTGGATCATTTGTACATTTGATCTCTACCATGAGGTTTACCCATCTGCATCCCCAATTGGCAGGATAAATTTTCATGTCACGTCATCCTGAGAATACCAACTCGTATATTCAACCATGAAGACATCAAAAATCACCTTTTCCTTGCCGTGTATATCAGTTTATTTATACTTTTTGAGCTCAATAACAGGCTGCATGTCATTTCGACCCATCCCAGAAGAAAAGATGGGAGTAGAGTCCACAGTGAGTTGCATGACACTTTGGCAGGCTCTTGTTTTTCTAGATTACTGTTATTAGATTGCTCGTATTCACAGTTCATTTGCTACTTATTTGATCTGAGAGATTAAAGTTTTTGGAATTGCAAAAACAATCATCTACTTGTGGAGATGAGGCTGCATATAATTGTCATATTGGCACTTCTTTTTAGATTGCTTGTACCATATAACTCCAAACACTTAATTTCCATTCATTTTTATGCAGTTATTGCTCTCAATTTCTTTCCTGATGCTTGGTGTTCGATCCTGCAGGCATCAATCATTGCATCTTTCACACCAGTTAGATTGGTTCCTTCACTGACATCGACGGGATGATCAAAATCGACTGTATCAGATGTCGACGAGAAATCTGCCGTGTAGAAACGAAGATCCTGTTGTGATCAGACGTTTCTTGGCCTCCAAGTTCTTCCGAGACTCCTCTATGTCAATCCAAAGGTAACACCAAACTCAACTGTCACTTCATGGTTAGCTTGCTTTGACATCTCACGCGTGCATCCCCATCTTTCCACGCTTGTTTCTCGTGGACGTCAAAGTCGAGATGTGAAATTAGCTTCTGATTTCTCCCAACTCGTGTCTCATGAGGCCGCCGAGTGACTACTGCAGGTAGGCTGCCGAAACTTCCACTCTCCTTCCTCCTCTCGAGGCCGGTGCTCTCCCCTCGCCTTCCTGCTGATGTCACTATTGGCTGCTTCCTGACGTCAGCCGCTGCGTCAAACTGGTATGCAATTCATCTGATGGGTTCTCTTTATTAATATATATTCATTATATATATGTATATATATGTGTGTTAATTTATCGGACAATAAACGAAAATAAGCCTGCGCCAAGTCATCAACCAGTTCTATTGGTTGTCATGGCTGTGTGATACACCCTTTCCCTGCTTGACCAGGCTGGGCGGAAACAAAGGATCCAGGACAGGTATTTTTAGTGTCAATCTTCCCTCTGTTTCCTCTTCAATGAACAACTGGGCACACAATTATTACAGATACAATTCCCATTTTTCTTATTGTTAGTCTTACGGTATGATCCTTCGGATATCCGCATGACGTCTTTCAATTTGTACTATAATTAACTAAGATGTTCTATCAAAAGAAATCTATAAGAAAAATAAAGAAAGATACTCTATGCTCAATCATATTTTAATCAACGAGGCTTATAATACCATCATTTCGTGTACAGATGCTGCTAATGGTCCTCACTAACTGCTGCTCATCACTCGTCAGATATTGAAACATGAACTCTACTTGAAAATGATGAATCTATTTCATGAGGATGTCGCAGTGTCATGTAATAGATAGGCCAAAGCATAACTCTTGTTGATTAGTAGATAGTAGATAATAATCCCAATTTCTTTCAAATGAAATGCAAGGTGATCGCAGACCGTAGGATTAACATGGGGAATTCTAAGCTCATTCTGATAGGCCGACGGCCGTCATCTTCGTCCACGTCGCCCAATCTTGCTATTACAAACCGGGATATGCCTTGTACGTCAGTTTCTTGCGAGAGAATGGGTGGGTTAGAATATTGGGTATGCGAGGCTGGACTGGGGTAGCGTGTGGACCCCGTAACGCAAGCTGATAAGACTTTGGTTGCACACCGGAAGGAAATGCAATAGAAAATGGGGTTTATCCATGACGATTCGGGTATAGTTTGACGGTAGGTAAGCATGGTGTGGGAATATGCTGAAAGATCCGCCTCATTGATGTCTCCAGAATGACAAAATTCCGTGCTCCACCCCAATGCGGTTTCACCCGTCATTTCGATTCTGACAGGTGGTGCGGGACCCAGAACAGTTGCCAAGTCATCACGGAGGTAGGGATCGCGGTGGGTCTTCGGACAGGTGCGAAAGGCGCTGGCCCCTGCGCGAATGCACGCACCTACTCGCATCGGAGTCGTCACCAAAGTCAGCACTGCGAAGCCCGATCGCACCTCCCCATCACCAGAAAAAGCCGGACGCCCAGTCCCGCATCGCTCTCCTTCCTCCTCCTCGAGAGGCAAGGCAACGAAAGGAAAGTCCGTGGCGGCGGAAACCACGGGGATATTCGGCGACGATGGAGGTGCTCAGCCCGTCGCCGCCACGCAGTCCGGCCGTGGACCGCTACGGCCGGGGAGGCCCGGCCCAGGGCGCGGCCCTCCGCTTCCTCCTTGACCGGGCGTCGCCCGGGCCCCGGGACGCTGCTTCCGGAAAGCTCTACGTGGCGGTCGGGCGATCACCGGAGAAGACCCTGGGGCTTCTCCGCTGGGCCTTTCGCCGCTTCGAATGCAGGGAGATCGGTTTGCTCCATGTTCACCAGCCGTCGCCCTTGATCCCCACTCTCTGTTAGTCTCTCTCTCTCTCTCTCTCTCTCTCTCTCTCTCTCTCTCTCCTCTAGGATTATGTCGAGTTCTAGGTTTAATATTGTCGGTTTTCTTGCTTTTGTTTCTCTCGGTTGTATTATTGGCTGCGCTGCACTTCATTGGTTCGCCCTTGGCATTAACCATATGGGTATTATTAGCCTTCATTGTCGTGCTTCTGTATCTAAGCTGCAGGTTTATATATGGTTTTAAGTGCTATTACTGTTGTTGTTTGTTGTGTTGCGAATGTGCTCATTGGAATCTGCGGCTTTACTTTACAAGCATCGATGGGAGATTTGGCATGATGTGTATTTTGGATAAATCTAGCTTATCCTGGCTTTTTTTTGTGCCAAATGAGCTTTTTTAGATCTTGTTGATGTATGATGCTCTGTTGCAGTCGGATAAGAGAGTACAGGAGTCGTTGAAAACTCGATTGTCGAATTATAGCATGGGATGGGAAGTCATGTAGAAGCTTATATAATGTTGAGACATACAAATTGAACGAATGATGTATTATAGAAGCCCTGTTGGTTGTAGGATCTTATTCTTCCTTGAGGTACATGTTCATGAGTTAATCACCTGCACCTGTTAGATCCAAATGGCTTGTAGGTGTGGCTGTCACTAACATGAAATTGGTCGGTTCGAACAATTGAAAGTGTATCCAAATCTTCGCATCGTAAAGTCCTGATCAATTTCGATTAAGTGGGTTAAATATTATGATGGTGGTGTACATGCTTAATCTTCCTGAGCAGTACTTTATTCCTGTTCTACTCTTTTAGTATGAACTATCTTTTATCCTCACAGTGATGTAAATCAATGTTCAGTAGGAAAAATTCCTGTTAATCAAGCTAATGAGGAGCTGGTGTCCTCGTATCGAAGAATTGAGAGGGAAGAGACAAAGAAGATCCTATTCAATTATCTGAGTTTCTGCCTTAAGGCACAGGTGCTTCTCTTTTGTCATTTTTGTTTTCTTTTTGTAGCCTTCATGGGTTCAGCATTTGAGAGTCAACTTTGCTGAATTGCGAATCATTTTTAGGTCTTGTTTGGTCTTGAATTGACAGGATAGTACCGGAATCTTTTCTCTGGGTATCTTACAAGTCTGCATATTCCTTATTTGGAAATTTCTATCATAAGTTAGGGCTGTAGGTTCAGCACCTTGATGCAATTCTTGTAGACAGTCACTTGGCTATTAGGGTCCTGAGTGAAACTCATGTGCTTGCAGCATCATTCCAAATCCTTGAGCACTTCTTAAGGATTGGTGCACCAGTTTTTGGTGCTCTAATGTCTTTTGGAGTTGGTAAAGTTAGAAACCAATTCAAATTACTCTCTTAATCTCTGAGAGAAGTGGAAATTTTATGCAACAACTTATATATGTTGTTAAATATTGTCATTCTAGTGTATGGAGCTAAACCTACTATGGAATGTGCAGGTGCATGCAAGTGTTATTGTGACTGAAAGTGATCAAATTCAGAATGGAATTGTGGATATCGTGACTCAACATGGCATTAAGAAGCTTGTTATGGGATCAACTTCAGACAAGTAAGTGGTGATTCCTGGTATTTATTCTTTCCTCTATATCCACTTTTATTTCCAGCTTAACAATTGTGTGTCCTCCATAGAGATTTTTGGTCATATGATTAACTTTCTTCATCAGCAACTAGTTTTAGGCATCAACCAACCAGCAACTAGATTTCGGCATTGAGTAATTTGACTAGCCTTTGGAACTTAGCAAACAATGTAACCTTTTGAGGATCTTTTATTTAGTGTTTGGCAGGTGAATGCACCATTTTCTTTTTTATAAAGTAACCATCTCAGTATAGAAGTCAGAAATACTTCAATAATTTAATGCTGAGATATGTAAAAGGAAACTCTGGAGGTATATTGAATCTGATATAAATCAAATTTATAGCTACATAAATGTTTAGAACGGTTTAGAAACTAGAATTCTGTTCTGTGTCATGTGGCATCAAGTAATAAAAATGTTGATGCTTTCAGTGTTTATTAGAATTGAGGTCTGAAAGTACCAAAGCAGATATGATAGAGAGGCATAGATTTTCAGTATTGTTCCAGTGTTGAGTTAGGTCTTAAAAAGTTAAGAATGTACTTGTATTTACTGTATATATGATTGGCCGACATGATAATTTTATATTGTGTTATGCCTGTATCCTTATTTTTTGTGCTGGCATGGCATTTTTTTTGGTATTTTCCTTTTTCTTATATGTTCTAGGTAGTGCAAATTATGTTTTTATCACTTAAAGTTTGCTGTGCTTTGAATTTTGATACTATTTCAATTCATTAGGCTTCTTATATTTCTTGTTCCTTAGGTTCCTTTAATCTTTAGTTTTCCTGTCCACCAAACATTGTTCCAAGTTCACTGTATCACCATTTCCTTGCACATGCCAACTTCAGGAACTTTGGTCAAATTCAAGGTAGAACAAGTTGAAATAGTTCTGAAGAGTTGTTTTATATTATTTGACTGGAAAATGCAATTCTATAGAGTTGCTGTAAATTTGCTGGTTAAGTTGCATTAACACGTGTTATGTTGTGCTTATTTAACTAGGACTGAAGTTTCCCAGAAAACATGTTTCAAAAAGACAGTTGTTGTGCTTACAAGCAATGAAATTTTCATTCTATTTATTCAGGATCCAGAATTTATTTAGACACCCGATAGCTCTAGGGTAAAATTTTAATGCTTAAAAGAGTTTAATTGCTTAAGCTGGTAACTGATACTAGGTTCCAAATGCTAATATCATTTAAAGCTCTGTTGTTCCCTACCACTAATTGTGCTTTGTTTCATTAATGCCCCCTGTGCTGCTTTGTATAATTTAACTGCAACTAGGGTAGGTGGTGTCAGCATAAATACAGCTTTTAGGTTACACTTTGATATAATAATTTTGACATCACCTTGAGTGCAAAACTTTACATCAGCTTTTAGGTTACACTTTGGCATATGCACAATGTTCGGTGGCATCATAGATCAGCTTGATGTGTGAAATGACCCACACACATTCTATCATACATATTACCCATTCTATGTTGCATCAGAGTGAATCAAATATTTCAATCATCATGCATTGCCTCTCTGATAGTGAACTTCTTGTAATGGACTGATGACAGTTGCTTCAAGTTGATTGGGAGCTCCAGCAAAATGACTTTTACTGCAAAAAATGTACCTCCATTCTGTGAGATATGGTTTGTTAGCAAAGGCAGGCATATCTGGACAAGGGAGGCTAGTGAATTCACAGATGACTTACTTCCAGTTCTTAGGCCTGATGAATCTGTTAATGGAGAGATATTCTGGTTAAATTTACAAGATCACAATGTTGAGCCATTGCTTCATCCAGAATGTCCACTCAATAGCTTCTTTGGTGCTGATCTGCAAGGAAGTAGGGGCTTGAATCAGAATGAATCCAATAATTCAGTTGTCATCCCAACTGCCGAATCCTGTGTTACTTGTACAACAAAATTTTGCAGTTCACAGGAACCTTCACTTGCTGCAGCTTCATGGCATTCTTCCCCATCTGTTATGGAGTTTCTATCGGAAATTATCTCCAAGGTATGCACACAAACACTTCATTGCTATCTCGTGAAATTGTTCAGACGTAATTTTGACTTCATTTATATAAATGATAGGATGAGCCGGATCAGGATATCTTGTATGATCAGCTCAAAGAAGTAGCAGCAGAAGTTGAAAGATCTAAAAGAGAAGCATTTATCGAGCTTGCTAAACGGAAACAACTGGAATCTGAAGTTGCAGAAGCTGTTAATAGAGTAAGCAACAATAGCACATACGTACTATATTTATTTATATCAATCAACTAAGCATTGCTAAAGCTATCACAGTCTGTTTGTTTGTATTGGTTCATATTCTATTCATTCGCACATTAATTTGACAGTTTGCATAAGATGTTAGTGTAAAACATCTTTAATTAGATTTCTACTGAAGTGTGCACATCACCAAAAGCAGCCAAAAATGATGGTTGTCATATAGTTTCCTTTTAAGTTGTTGGGCTGTAGATAGCTAACTTATATGATTGTTCCTGGTTTTGACTAGGTCAAAGCTCATGAAGCTGCCTGTGAACATGAAGTCAAAATTAGAGAAGAGCTTGAAGATATTCTTAGAACTATCAAGTTGCAGCATGAAGAGATTGTAAACCAAAGGGATGAAGCCTTGAGAGAGTTGCAAAATGTCATGGAAAACATAGCCCTCCTACATTCTCGTGCTGAAGAAATGGCCCTTCTCAGGGATGAAGCTGAAGGTGAATTGGAGATCATCCAATCGTCAATAGAGATTATTAATAGAGGAAGGCAGAAGATCAACCAGAAAGATGACATTGAGGACAACAAGTTTGAAAATTTGGGATCCGGTGGGCATGACCCATCTCCAAATTGCAGCCAGCTTATTGTTTATGGTGATGATGTATATGATTGTGCAGAGTTTACATTGTCAGATCTGCAAACTGCTACTTGTGAATTCTCAGAGAGCTTCAAGTTAGGACGAGGAGGCTATGGTTGTCTTTACAAGGGAGAAATTATGAATAGAACTGTGATGATAAAAAGGTTACATCAGCATAATGTTCGAGGCCAGGTGGAGTTTCAACAAGAGGTATGCTCCCTGTCATGCACGCACAAACAAACTAACGCATTGTGACTATCCAAGTAAATTTTAGTTACAGTTCATCACAAACGGGTATGTTGCTCCTCAAGCATATGATTAAGTTGTGATTTTCTATTGTCTAAATCCTATAATTCTATGATCAATTCAATGCAATGGGACATTTTCCAAAAGGCGCAATAACATATTTTTTGTTAGTACCAACTGCAATGAGGATTGGATATTCATATTTCATTAAAGATATATCCAACAATTTCCACTTGAAGATATAAGAACCCTCTATTCAGGAATATATAATATTCTAGATGTCTACGAGATGAAATGTTGGTTCAGATATTTTATCCAATGCTGTCAATGTGAGTTTTCAGGACCAACATAAGGTTCATAAATGAAATATGCAATATAGAATAGCCCCTACATGTTACATGTGAGATCCAATGCAATGAATTCCTAGGAAAGAAGTCTTCTTTTGGTTATGTTTCTAGCTTGTATGGAGATGTTGGTTTTGGTCTGTCTGGTTTCTTTGCTGTTGATTGTATAAACAACCAATAGTATTTACGACAGTCTTGAGAGTGGCAGACCGGGACATTCTTAATGGATTAGTTGCAAAAATTCAATTCGGAGAGCAGCAACATGCCTGAACTTATCTTGCATTTCTTTTGTGATCCCGGCGATGAGGGTTTGGGTTATGGAAAGACTCTTTATATATGTTGACCCTCTAGCAATGAACTGACAGGTGTCTCATGCAATGGGCTGTCATATTTAGCTATAACTCCATTTTATAGATTTCAAGTTTCATGTAGATTTGAATCTTGAGAGCCCTTATTATGTCAAAAAATCTTTGGAATTATTTATCCTTTTCCACTTTACAACAGCTTGGTTTTCAGCCTGTAAACTATTGAATTTTACCATCCTTAGTTCTTTACTGGATATTATTTTTAAAATCTTCTTAGCATTCCAAATTTTATGATAGTTGTCCTTGGTTAACATGATAATACTTGGTTCTAGAAACACCAGGAAGTTGTGCATGTATCATAATTCCTTAAAGAAAATTAGTATATTCTTGTGGTACTTCCATATATGTCGATCAAGTATCGTCAACGACTTACTACATACTTTGGGTCACATTTTACCAACATACTTAACTATAATCAGGCAACAGTTTAGAGTGGACCAGATTATCTAAGAGGATCATAATACTGGTAAATATTGATATACTATGCATCAATATAACTATGATCAGCAAATTGGGTTTGGATTATCATTTTCTAGTTCAACAAACCAAGATGTGAAAAGGGACCTTTAAATGCTTATTGTGAGGATGGCTTTGAATGTATTAGTAGTACAATACGCTACGTGGTTTTGCATGTGGTGGTTTTGTGCTGTTGACTAAACCATTCTTGTATCCTATGTTCTTGTAGGTCCATGTCCTCGGCAAAATTAAGCACCCACATCTGGTCACGCTGATTGGTATGTGCCCAGAAGCCCTGTCCGTTGTTTATGAGTATATGCCCAATGGAACGCTCCAAGATCGCCTCTTCTGCAGAGCCACTCCAATGAATTGGAAGATCCGAGCCCGAATAATAGCTGAAATCTCAAGCGCGCTCCTCTTCTTGCACTCCTGCAAACCTGAGAAAATTGTTCATGGTGACCTAAAGCCTGAGAACATCTTTCTTGACTACAGCTACAATTGTAAACTTGGAAATTTTGGAGTTTGCCAGCTCATACAGCAGGATACAGGGCACAACCCAACGTTATGCCGATACAGAGAGCCCCAGGCAGCATTTCCTTATTCGGACCCCGAATACCAAATGACTATGGAATCAACAACGAAGTCTGATGTATATTCCTTTGGAATCATCATTCTCCAGTTACTCACCGGGAAACCGGCTAGGGGGTTGTCTGGTGAGATACGCCGGGCTTTGTTATCTGGAAATTTGAAGTCGATCTTGGATCCTAGTGCTGGTGACTGGCCTACCGATGTGGCGAGAAATCTTGCAGAGATTGGTTTGCAATGCAGTGAAATGAATGCTCAAGATCGACCAGAGCTGACACCTGAGATGGTGAAGGACCTGGGGTACCTACATTTGATGGAGGAAAGACCAGTACCCCCATTCTTCCTGTGCCCAATCCTTCAGGCAAGTGTACATGAAAAGTTTGCTCATGGTTTCTTGTTAATTACGAGCAAAATTTTAGTTGATATTTTAGCTGCTCAATGTCTGGTAACCTTGACACCATACGCTCTAAATGCTGCAGGAGATCATGCATGATCCTCAAGTAGCAGCAGATGGATTTACCTATGAAGGAAGGGCACTGAGAGAGTGGTTGGATAGCGGACGAGATACTTCCCCTATGACCAACTTGAAGCTGAAACACCTACATCTCACTCCCAATCATGCTCTCCGTCTCGCTATACAGGATTGGCTGTGTCAGCCATGAAGATGTGCAGCAAGATCGTTTGCCATGATTTGCACAACAAGGGTGTCATCAGAGTCTCGCATAATACTGGTGTATATTACACCGTATTCCTATGTAATACTGTACATACATGAATGGTGGGGAGCAGTCGAGTGTCAATACGGTGTTTACTTTAATGTGTCATAGATTTTAATCTTCCTCTGGTCACAGTAACGGGAGAATTTTTGTACCATATGATGAATGCTGATTTATTTTTATCTAATGATGATTCTTTTGTGAGTTTGTCTCCCATCTCATGGTATGAGCATCCAAAACACACAAACCTTGTCCATAATGCATGCCCACTGCAAATGATTGTTCCTTCAAGAGCAATAGGCAACCCTTTGTTTTATTTTATTTTCTTTTGTATTTCCAGGGAATTAATTGATTCTTATAGTCCATCAATTGACTGAGACATTTGGATGTTTCAGTATCAATCTTATCGGAATATATATCAGATAGACTATCAAGTAGCTGTTTATAACTTGTTGCAGTCTCTGCTTTTTTCATCAACGTTTTTCTCTATTAGCAGCAGAAAGCATATATGTTATGTTATATCTTTGTGCATGTCAAACTTTCATGATATTTTGAATATATTGTATTGTTTATAACTTTCATCTCTGTGATTTGGAGGAGCATGAAATTTTGAATATATTGTATTGTTTTTTAGAATATTACTCTTAATAATCCATCTAGATTTCAGCAATGATATCCCTTATCTTTGAAACTTGTTGGGTTGAGACCCAAGTCTACTAGCTCAAGCAGGCACATGCCATGTGACCCCCCCCCCTCTTCAGATCTATATTTGACTCAATCAACATAAAGAAACATACCTACCTAAACCTATCATGGACTGTAAGTTAGGAAAAGGTAATGTAAGTGGTCAAAGAAGAAAAAGCTTGCAACCCCCTCTTTTTCCAACAGTGCATTGTCTGCTTCTCTTTGATCTCAAAGGAGATGACATAAACAATATGATGATAATGAGAGCTCCTCAGCTTCATCCAGTTCTTCTCCACCATGGTGCCTCTTTCACCTGCAGATGGGACTCAACCAAAATTGACTACCCACCTAACAAAGTCCAAGCCTCTCTCTTATCCCAATGAATTGTTTAGGTGGATACTGGAAAGAATGGGTCAATAATGGCAAGCCTGCATCAGCTTCAGGGATGAAGATAACAAATGACAGTGACAATTCCCAATCTGAACCTGCCAAACTCATCCCTACCTGTTGAATATTATGTGCAGCTCTCAGGCAGCAACAAAATTGAGAAGAGAGATAAATGCTAGTAATCTAAATAAAAAACAAAAGCTTCCAGTGGGTGAAATGATGGAGAGTGCACACTGCCAAAGAAGAGAGAGGACCCCCCAAGCTCACATTGATGGGAGACATGCTCTCCAAACAAGAGATGCATCTTTAGCTTTTCCACAGCAGTTTGTCCCCATACAGAATCCATGTACTCACAACAAGGGAATCCACAGTACAATCTCACCTCAGCAGCTGGTAACACTAGGCTTGAAACAGGGATGTGACCACTGACAAGAAGCTTGCATAATTAAAAGGAGAGTACTGACCAAATGGAGCCCATCCCCATAATCAATCACATGGCAGGCAGTCACATGATGGCTAATACCCAAAAACACTCTCTTCTGAATCACTGTGCCCATGCACATTGATACCCAAAACCCAAAAGTCTCCCTTGTCAATCAGTGTGCCCATGTACATTGCATCACCATGATTCAAATCAGACATTCAGGCTGCAGCTTCTTCCCCCCTCTTGAAGGACATTGATGAGTTGTAGGATAAGAAAATTCACCTCCACTGTCCTTCAGAAGAGATGACATCATCCCTATATATATATATATATATATATAATGTCAAAGGACTGTTTAACTATGTTCTCCTTTGATGTCAGAGCACAAGAATCTGCACCTGCATCAAGATCATGTAGTTTGATACCCAAAACCTTATTTTTGTTTAGCATTCCTGGTTGTGGCCAGTAGCCATATGAACTGCACTGTATGTTCTACAGCTTGTCTACCATGTCACTGCTATCAGTTATTCTACCTGAGCCACAGCCCATCAGTCCAAATGATCCCACAGCTGAAGACAGACCTTTGAAGCTACTACTGCCCTCGCTGCTGCAATGCCGGAACCTCCTTGGCTTTGAGGTGGTGTTCTGGTCTCCGGTGTCCCTGGCCTTGGTGGTTACCAGCCGAGATATGCTGCTGCGGCAGAAGGGGCAGGCCGGTGAAGGCAAGAACAAGGTTGTGGGGTTTGGCTTGCTGTGGCAGCACACGGCCAGTGTGCATTGGGCACACATCTGATGCCGGCAGTCTTGGACCTCGATGGTGCAAACCCGGTCGAAGCAGATGGAACAGAACTCTGCATCACTCCCCTGCAATAACAACTATTTTTCATGAGATGGAAGTAAAAAAGGCATTGCATTTGATGTATTATAGTTTCTCAGAGGCAGAATATCATCAAACAACTCCTTGTGCTATTGCTGTTATCCTCCTATCATCTTTACATTGTTTAATCATTAGCAATAAGAAGCTAAATGCTCTTTCTTTGGGGGACAAAAGCAGCTGTGAGTTCAGTAGGTCATATGAGTGTCAGTTTGTAAGCATTGTGGGATGTACCCATCTCATGACTCACAGTGAAATTGCTCATATTCAAGGGTTAAAACTGGAGAGAAGAATCATTGCAGGTTGTGGCCCAGACCTGAACAACTAAATGAAGGGTGAAATCATGGTGTCTTAATCTACTACTTAGGTTTATGGAAATAATTTGCAGATTCAGTAAGTAAACGCAGCATAATTCTCCACCAGATTCAATAACATGATCATACTGCTGCTTCACATGCAGTTTTAGCAATATATAGATAACAATGCTAAAAGATGCTGCTCTTTCTTTCTTTCTTTCTTTCTTTCTTTCTTTCGATCGAAGACTGAGTTTGCTCCATGCAAACAAAATGCCATTGGCTTAAATCTCACAATTAACAAGAGGAAAATGACATCGATATAATTATGGATCCCAAAAAATGGTTATCATAAGCAGAAGAAAAAAAGAAAGGAAAAAAATTAAGATATCTTCCTTGAATAAATGGGGGAAAAAAAGGATGTAGTACCTCAGAAACATCATCATCAAATGCTTTATCTGAATGTGCAGGAGATGTCAACGAATCTGTAGTTCCTTTCAAGATCTTCATTTCCCTTTCCCTGTTACCCTCCATCAGAGCTGCCTCCAGCAGAGCCTTCGTCTCTGAATCAAGTTCACTGATGAACTTCAGTGCAGAAGGCCAAACCAGAGGATCTGCTGCAGATGGGTTCAATAGAGCTGCACATTCTCCATGATTCTGCTTCAGTGCAACCTCATACGGCATTCTCCTGTAAATCCAAGTGCCAACAAAGAAAAAGGACATTATGCAGCCGCATTGAGATGATAAATCGCAAACAAATTAATGAACAAGTCGGTATATCCAATCGCCCTACCGATCTTTAGTCCCAGTACAAGAAATTTTTCCGACAAAGATGGCGACTAGAACGCACATTAGAGAAGCTAAAAGGATGCTGGATTGAAAAATGACATTTTCGTAATGCATGAGCCAACAAAAGATTTCCTAATAGCTTATCCTAAGTATTTGATAGCATAGGAGTAGAAAATTGCCGAGCAATATCAAAAGCTGCACCTAGATCTGTGAATTGCAACAAATAAAAACCAGTTGATCGAAGCTCCTGGACACTAACGAGCTTGGATGGAATCATCTACACTAATTTCATCCTCCCAGCAACTTGCACAAACCCTAAGTTATGATCAAGCAACTCCAAGCTTGGAGAAGAAACAATGTGCAAGCCGAGACACATCCTTACCCAGATGAATCCCGTTGAAGCCGATCAGCACCGCGTGCAAGCAACTCCCTGATGCAATCCAAGCTTCCCCCCCGAGCTGCCAAATGCAGAGGGGTGCTCCCAGGAAAGCTGCAATTTGGGATCTCTTAAGCTCACAGCTAAGTCACAATCTCCAGACTTGGAACTAACACCAAAGGCATGTGTGTGATGGAGAAAGAGTCAGTCACAGCATAAACTTACCCATATCGGCCAGTCGAAGCACAGACGAGAGCGCCATTGTCTACCAGAATATGGACGCAGCTGGGCCTTTTTTGCCTCGCCGCGAGGTGCAACGGCGTCGCTCCGGTGCCATCACTCACGTTTACAAACCGGGCAAATCCCCTGTCAGTCCACAAAAAGAAGAAGAAGCTAAACCTTGACTCATTCAACCACAGTCACGCCATGAATCGGTGGATCTTTTAGAGCCCTACCAAGAACTTGCAACATGTGTGGATTTGGCAGCCGACAGAATTGCTCGCAGACAATCGGAATGACCATAATAAGCAGCATGATGGAGGCAAGTTCTTCCATTTACCGAATCGAACATCAAGATCTATCCACACAGATAACGAGAGATCAATCCCAGCACAAAATCCAAGATTTCGGAGAAGAGAGTAACAGAAAAAGGGAATCTTGAGAAGAAGACAGTAGCTCGGCTCACATTTGCTCCGGAATCGAGTAGCTTCTGCACGCACTCGATCTTTCCATGCATCGCGGCCAGCATCAATGGGGTCTGATTACGGAAACCAAATTCCATGAAAATGAAAAGATTTTTGAGTATGAAGGAAGTAATTCATGACAAAACAATGTCTTTTTCTGGCCTCTTCACCTGTTTATCTCGATTCAAGACATCGGGGCTAACAGATCGATCCAAGATCATAGACAAAACCTGCAAACATATCGCACATCAGACCAAAAACCCAAGCATCGACCGATCCTCGCCAGAAGAAGCTCGGGCGGAGGGAAATGGGCTCACCTCAACGCGGCCATTGGCGGCGGCGATGTGGAGCGCGGATAGGCGGTCGTAGATGGTGGTCCGGAGAAGCAGTGACGGGTCGTCCTTCAGGGAGGAGTCCACCGCCTGCAAGTCGCCGGCTTGGACTGCGGTGAAGAAGTCATGGTCGTAGCTCGAGCTGGCGCAGCTCAGTCCCTGACCCATCCCCGCCCTGCCTCTCCGAGCTCCACCGGTGGTCGATACGTGAGCTCTGGAGGCCTTCGGACTCCCACCGGAGCGCCGCGGCGCCGCCGGGGAAAGGGAGGCGAGCGTTGGAAGGGAAGGAGGGAACCGGCCGAAGCGTCACGGCAGCGGTCTTCGCGTCTTTAAAATAATACTAAGTCTTTAGGCTGCTTTTATTATTTTACGGACCACAAAATGACGCACACGCGGTCAATATTACAATAATTAATTTCTATCTAAATACATTAAAAATAATAAATATTTTCGAACTTCTAAATAATCATTTTATCCTCTTAACTTTCAAAAATCTTCTTAATAGCACTATCCTAGTGATCGAGCAAAAGAGAATGAGTAATTTGTTATTTACTAACCCGCTCACAGAAGTACAGAAGATTAAGAGGGGAAGACGAAAGCTAATGTTATTTATCAACTCGTACACAAAAACATAAACGATTAGGGGAGGGGGTCGACACATGAGGGGATGATGGTGATTGATATAAGTAAAATATTTTTTTCAAACTTATGATATTTTATTTGAAAAGTCTAAAGTTATGAATTCTTTTTCAAGAATTCATACCCTGCTATCTCTACTTTCAATAAATCTCGATATTATTGACTCTTTATCTAATTAATGGTTATAAACAAAGAAAGGAGAAAAGATTACACATGATGGTTACGATGATAAAACAACGAAGACGATCGATGAGACGAAGACATTTTTTTTTTAAGAAATACTATATATATTATAAAAAAATTATTTTTTAAGAAATAAGAGAGGTTCTATTGATGCAAATTAAAAAAAAAATACGTTATTAGAAAAAAAAAAAGTGAAAATAAGGTTTTTTTTTTTTTTTGAAGAATTTGCCGAATTAAAAATAAGTCAGGCAAATCATCGAGCAGTTCACGTGCACGAGGAGTGAATCCCCCCCAATGGAGTCACGCACATTGAATGCTTTAACCACACTGAGTCTGACATGTAGGTCACCAATCACCGTCGTGGCAACCATTTATTGGAGATGGGCCTCACGAGGCTACGCCCCATCAATTTTTGACTCGGGTCCGTCTTCCCCTCCCATAAATAATTGACCGCGACGTTGGGCACAATCGGAAGACCTCATCGGGAATCGAGTCCCTTTGCTTCACGGTTTAACCCGACCATGAAAAGTCGACTCGATCGGTTCGAGTTTGACCAATTTTGACCGCCGAACGACGTGGAATCAAGTAATGGAACCCAATGTGCGACGGCTTCACCAACACGGACTCGGACCAAATCTAATTAGGGTCGCAGTCCGAGGGAAAGGGCATTTCCGTAAATAAATTTGTCTCCGGCACTGTTTTAGTCTCGCATAGCGCGTTCATTAGGCATCATCCTACGCCATTAGGGTTCTTCGGCTGCCGGTAGTGTGTTCGGTTCGGTGGTACGCAGCAATTCTTTCTTCTTTTTTTTTTGGGAAAAGATTCTTTTGTTTGTGCAGTTAATGCAGCATTTGCTTCTTTGTCGACTGGAGTTTTTTAATGCGATGGTTAAAATCCTAAAGCAAGGACCAAAAAGTGGGATCATTCTCTCCAATTTTATTATTGAGAAAGAGATGTGGTTGGATCTGCCTTAATCTGCGATTTAGATCGTTTGTCTCTCGACTTTTGATACTTATCCTTCTTGTTGTGTGATCGAAACAATGAAAGATCTTTGCTTAGTAACCCTGATGTTCTTCTGAACAGTAGGAAGCAATGGCTCCTCCGCAGCCGAACAGCGGTCTCTTTGTCGGGCTGAACAAAGGCCATATCGTCACCAAGCGGGAGCTGCTCCCTCGCCCTTCCAGCAGAAAAGGAGTATGAATCTTTTGTATTCTTTTTTTTTTTTTTTCCATTTGCATACAGTCTGACTGATCTCTGCAAACTCGTGCAATGAAATGTGGAATTTGTGACTATCAGCTTTTGATGCATGAAACAACATTCTTAATGCATGAAACTACGCATTCTTTGTTTCATTTCAGTTTTGATGTATGTTAATTTGGTACTTGATGGCTGAACAACATTTTTTGATCCATGGGACTGTGCATTCTTTGTGCTATCCTATTTTTTATGTATGTTTAGATGATCTGAGTGAATCCTAAATTTGATCATGTGATAGTGTCAAGAAATCTATCTATTTGTTCTACCCACCATGGGTCTGGTGCATGCGAATTGTTGTAGTTAAAAACTTCATGTGGCTCTTGTGAATCGATTTGGGTATGGTTATGATTTGTTTATTTAAGGGCTTTTGCATCCTGTACCATTCTCTGGTATTATATGATGAGGCTACATCGATAAAGAAAAGACATCTTTCTGAGTCTTTTACGCTTTGATTTGTTATGGCTCTTGTGAATTTTCGTGGATATATATGAAGAATCTGGGAAATGTGGAATTTGTGGCTATCAGCTTTTAATGCATGAAACAACATTCTTAATGCTTGAAACTATGCATTCTTTGTTTCATTTCAGTTTTGTTGTATGTTAATTTGGTACTTGATGGCTTAACAACATTTTTTATCCATGGGACTGTGCATTCTTTGTGCTATCCTATTTTTTATGTATGTTTAGATGATCTGAGTGAATCCTAAATTTGATCATGTGATAGTGTCAAGAAATCTATCTATTTCTTCTCCCCACCATGGGTCTGGTGCATGCTAATTGTTGTAGTTAAAAAACTTCATGTGGCTCTTATGAATCGATTTGGGTATAGTTATGATTTGTTTATTTAAGGGCTTTTGCATCCTGTACCATTCTCCGGTATTATATGATGAGGCTACATCGATAAAGAAAAGACATCTTTCTGAGTCTTTTACACCTTGATTTGTTATGGCTCTTGTGAATTTTCGTGGATATATACTAAGAATCTGGGAAATTGTTCCTTCGAATTTCTTTTGAAACATTTCCCTTGTGAGGTTGACTAGATATAATTCAGCTTCCATGTAGCAAGAATATGCATTCAAAGATTATCACAGTGAATCCTATTATATTGGATTGATTCGAGCGTGTTAGAGCAAAGTCTACTGATTTGAAAATTATTGTTAGTCATTCATTTTGGTTTTGAAAATTATTGAACCTTGGAAGTTTTGATTGTTAGCAAGTCCCATTGCCATTATAAGTTCCAAACTTGATGTTGTGCTTGGATGTTTTTATTTATCATATGATTTTTGATTTTTTTCAGAAGACGAGCAAACGAGTGCATTTCGTGAGGAATATAATCAGGGAGGTTGCAGGATTTGCTCCTTATGAGAAGAGGATCACTGAGCTTCTTAAAGTTGGGAAGGACAAGCGTGCATTGAAAGTGGCAAAGCGAAAGTTGGGCACGCACAAGCGAGCCAAGAAGAAGCGTGAGGAGATGGCCAATGTTCTCAGGAAAATGAGGTCAGTGTTCAGATTTTCCATTTTTATTATCGTTTTCTTTACTAATTGTAAGGTAACAATTGTCTTAGCATTGGGGTTGGAGGCATACTTTATAATTTATATTATGAATTCATCATGGAAATATCTGATAGGTACCTTTGTGGCTAGAAATTGAAGTATTGTGGACTTAGCAATAAGAAGTACAATTAGTGATAAGGACTTGTGTAGGAATGGGTCTCTGATGATAGTTCAAAACTTCAAATACAGGCGGCTGGTCCGCTTAATACCGAATGACAAAGATGCAATGTCGGACAATACGTAAATAGACACGATTTGGTATTTATGCAATGAAAAATTAAAATTTCAGTTTTCTGTGTTGGGTTAATCGCTTGCTATAATGATATACAAATGAGAAAAATTGTCTACCGTGCCGTTAAGTGCATAAATTTCTATAAATTCTATATAATTCTGTGGTTTATGGTGATTCTAATTACCCATCTGTTGTTCCATGTGGTCATCTAACTTGCAGGTCTGCTGGAGTTAGCGATAAGAAGAAGTAAACGGGGGTTTATGATCTCATGTCATTGGCAGGATCAGATGCACTAAAAATCGAAACTTTTTAGGATGTGTTACTTCTGAAATATTTTGTATTCCCTATGCCTTTAACGCCAGGATGTGTTATTTCTGAAGAAGAATATTGAGGCTATGGATTCATGGTTTAAATAAAGTAGCAACTTTAGTTTTGATATTGATTTAGATGCAATGCACAGATGTTCTGTCAACAGTGTGATTGATTGTGCAATTGATTAGATCTGTCGGTGTGTATTTTAGTGACACTTTTAGCATCTTTATGCATCAGCCAAAATGAAACGTCACAATCGGAAATATGAGGCTTTTCTATCCATCCACACAAATATACTCAAATTAATATCAGTCTGATCTCTTCGAGAATTGTCACTTTACATCCCATCTGCATCTGTTCATGAAGGTCAACGGGTCAACGCTGCTGTTTCTTCTACCCATGCAGGCCACGTTATTTGTTAGCGTGCAGGTAAAAAGGAGGACACCAGAGAGGGGTGAACAAGATATTTCAAATTTCACATTTTTTGATTGATGGGATCGACGGTCAGGATGATCCGTGGGTGCACCAAACGTGCGCGGCTTGTTAGCGTGGGACCGACCTCGTGCGCTCACCGAACCCGACAGTCCTCGAGTCGACAAGAGGGCACGTGGCGAGCGACAGCGACCGCCGCGACCGGGTGCGTGAACCGGTGGTCCTCGCAGCCCATCCTATCACCGCCGCCCGCTCGCCCAGATCGGACGGTCGGGAGGGTCCGCTTGTCGGTGGGCGTGGCCGGTGGGGACGGCCGCCGCTCCCCGGCCACGTCAACCCATGTGGCGGCAAACAGCCTCCCACGGCGGCTCGACCTCGGCTCCAAGCCGAGCCCCCATATTATCCACTTATTACCATATTATCACAACATAATAACTAACATCATTAACATTAAGCTGCGCCCATTAGTGTGACAGTCTGGGCTTCGACTCTTTTGCACTGTGCATGCACAATACACCTTGTCCATGTGCAGTCACTACTGTTCCTTCCTCGTCTTCCTTTTAATACCCCTCATAAATAGGAGACAACCACAAGTGTTTTCCTTAAGTTGCTTCATTGTCAATTTGATCTTCTTGTACATGCTGCTACTCTGTCTTTTGCCTTTTGGTCCTTTTGTTTTGTTTATATCCACAAGAACCAGGACATGGTAGGTTGACCTGAGGTCAATCATGTAAAGGGAAGATCTCTTGCTGCTGCTAGTTGCAGTGTGGCAATCTGCCAAGTGCAGCAGCGGTTTGATGCTTTTTACCTAAGGAGCAAAATTCTCTCTCCTGTGGATGTTGGCTGAATAGCAGGCCAGCAAAAGAGCTAATAATAATCTTTTGCAATTTCAGTGAAGATTAAATTTTGATCATAAACATGCAGATGTAGTCGACTATGTGCATATTTATGATCGAAAACATGCTCATCAGAATCATTCAATCCCCATATCTCCCTCCATTCAACACAAGGTTTCAGCAATAAAGAAGAAAGGCATCTTATCTGTATACATATCCTTCACATCTGTCAACTTTGCCATCCCATTCATTAACCAAGACGACGACGAGATTGAGACAGTGGGAATAGCAATTGGAACCAATGGAAGCTTTTAGTGCCTTGTAATCTCCGATTTATATTATTTATGAGCTTCCAGCTCGAGTCTTCTCAGGTCCACACTGCAACACCGACTGGACCATTTAAATCATTGCAACTTTCATCCCTCTCTGAGCCGCGGCTCCAAGCCGCGCCGATTTAAGGAAAAGGGCATATAAAATAAAGAAAGAACGACGGGAGGTGGGATCGCCTCCAACGAATGTAGCTTTCCAATTTGATTGCTGTAAAGTGACGGAAGACAAGTTTAGGTTTGTGAAGATGGACGGTTAGTATAGGAATTTTATGGTTTTGGTAACAATGTGTGCTTGGGAAGGATCCTCACCCCGAGACCAACTATAGCGGCACCTCCTGCTGCGGCTACGCTCTTCATCCCCCTACCCTGCGACGCTCCCCCTCTGCTCGCCTCGAATGGGAAAAAGGCAGCTCCTTTTCCAGTCTCTTTCTGTGATTTCCTCGAAGCAATCTTAGACGCGGAGCAGGTCCGTCAATCTTTCGTGGAATTGATCGCGGCGTTGAGATCCCCGCAAATCAGTTGCTGGAGTAGAGGCCGATTCGTCGACCAGTTGGTGGAGTTATAGATAGAAGAGCGATGGACGAAGGAGCCAACGAAGCGGCAGCTCCGGAAGTGCCAACGGCGACGGGGAGGGTGGTGGATAGGCTGGCGGAGGCGGTGGAGGAGATCGCCGGCATCTCCGACTACCGGAACGCTTACAAGAAGCAATTTTGCAACCTCTCGCGGCGGATCAAGCTGCTCGCGCCTATGTTCGAGGAGCTCAAGGAGAGCAACGATCCGATTTCGAAGCCGGCGGTCGGCGTCCTGGAGAAGCTCAATCGGGCCCTCGATTCGGCCAAGGACCTCCTCCGGCTGGGGAGCGAAGGGAGCAAGATCTTCCTGGTATGTCGAAGCGGCGTCGCCGAAGCTTTTCCGTTTCGTTTTCTCTCATTTCTATCCTCTTTGTGTGAAATGCGGCACCTTTTTCTTTCTGGTATCCCGTGAGCTCAATTTTAAGTCTTTCCTGGAAATCAAGACCATTTTTTCCTCTTTTATTTCTTGTTCTAACCTTTCTATTAGATCCTGCATACTTACTGCCGTTGTTAGGAAGATCGGCCGCATCCTCGAAACTGAAAATTGTTTTCTTAATCTTTTTGAATAATGCTTTGATTTAGGAGCTGTGTGGTTTTCCTCGGCAGAACAATTTTGTTCTGAAAGTAATATATAAGCATTTAGATTTATGTGGTTTCATGAATGGCTATAAGAAACTAGGATTAGAATGAAACCTATCGGCTGTTAAGTTTGAAGCAATTGTTTGTCTGGGAATTTTCTGTTCTTTGTTATCAAAATTGTGGAGCAAGATTCAGTTTGTCAAAAAGATTTATTTCTTTTATACATGCTCAATATTTGCAATATCTTTTCCCTTCACTTAAGGCAAATCTTTGATAGGTATACCAAATTGTTTCTAGCTTTGGAAGATAAAATTTTGTTCCTCTGATGTGATCAAGGGATTATGATTTGATTTCTTGGGAACTTGTTATGAGTCCAAACTCTTGAAGTACATTTCAGTGACATACATTGTCCACAGTTCACTTGGAGTGCAATAGGTGAATAAGAAAATTAAATGATTGCTATGCTGTATATGTGTTTTTTATGGGTATGTACAAGAATACAATGTCACTCGGAACCTTTCCGTTAAGACCTTGGTTGATAAGGAAAAGAATCGTGTTAGGTGAATTAACACGATTCTTGTTCTATACAAGTCGGGCCATATTCACAAGCATTCTAGATGATCGGTCACCATGCTTAGTAAATGCAGGTGTACATTCAATGGACCAATTGATTATATTATATGTTAGCACACTATCAGTAGCTTTAAGTGGCTCTAAGTAAAAGATGACTTAATCTTGAATAATCATAGAAGTGCAGCCTAGTGGATGAGGCACTTTCTGCCATTGCTGTCAGATGGTCAGAAGGATAAGAACCAACCTACCTATATAGGGTCACTTACCCACCAAAAAGAAAGAAGAAAAGCAGCACTGTCCAAGTTGATTTCAACAATAGCAAGGTTGTCCATATCTGATGCTTTGAGATTCCCCTATCAGATTTTGAACAAGTCAGACATTTCAAAGGTTCAGTTTTTATAATCACAGTTCTCAGAATGATCCTTCTTGGGTGGCTTTGCTAGCAGATTCTTGTTGTCCATAGGCCTAAACTGCTCCCACATATAACAAAGCCATTGTCAATCCCTGCACTTACTGCTTAAATTCTTTAGTTTTATTAGCTTTGGCATGACAAATCTGATCTTGACACTTCCTTTGCAATTGTTGGGTTTCTTTTTCCAGATCTTCCTTGTTATTGCTTTCAAGAACAGATGTGTACAATTCGAGTAAGTTTGTGGTGTCTAATCCATATATGCTTTGGCACTGGTAATTCAGCATACACTGGAAAAGAATTTCCAGTATGTTCGGTGTTTTATGTCCAACCTCTCATACATGCCATTGCTACCAAGAGGTTCACCAGACTATCATCTTTTAGCTGTTGGAAAATTTAATAAGCAAAGCCAACATATAATAAGTAAAGAAGACATCTAATCTGAACAAGTGTTTGATGATAAAGATGTTCTATCCTTGAAATTGGCCAAACATTGGTGAATGTAACTAAAAGTGGTACTTAATATGTAAAAAAAAAAAAAGGAAATGAGAAAGGAAGGCACCGCATAGGGAACTGAATAGGGAAACTCATGAGGAAAAGAGCAAATGGATCTCCCTCGTATCATCCTAAGAACTGGTGAATATAATGTTGAGGAGGATCTCTTTCAGGGCATCAAAAGAGCTGGTGAATATAATGTTGAAGAGGCTAACAGAGTCCAACCTTAGACGATGTGAAGGGAGTAATGGACAAAGAGGGGTTGTCATGATGCAATTGACAGGGTTAACATACTAACCCTGTTATGAGGTTCTTGGAGAATCACAATCTTCCTCACTCGAGATGTGAGATTTATGGCACCAAAATGCTGACTTGTGTGCGCATTAAGGTTCTACGTGTAATCCAAAATCATGCATTTGTTGGTGGCATAGATTTATGCTATGATGTGCCTTTTGATCTCTGTGAATAGAGGTTTGTTTCTTGAAGGAAAAAACGATCTTCACGACCAACAGTTTGTCATGAAAAGATTGAATGGTCCTTTCTCTGTCTTACATAGTATAATTCATGTTTCCTAAACCTTATGTAAATATGGCAATTTTGGTGTATACAATTGATTTTCTGAACTATGCATCAATTATATTGGAAGCATGAACTGGAGAAACCTATCTGGTATCTGATTTCTTCCTGCTGCTTAGCATGGATTTGTACTTGTGCGAAATTCTTAGTGGTGTCTTCTTCTGTCTGCAGTCACCAATTTCTGCACTTCTGTTTCCAGGTCTTGGAACGAGACAGAATAATGGAAATGTTCCAAGTTGTTACATTTCAACTGGAACAAGCTTTGGATAAAATTCCCTTTGATGAGATTGACATATCAGATGAAGTAAAAGAACAGGTAAACTATCAATAATGATATTCTCTCCCTTCAACTTAATTATTAGTGTCATTTAAGAAACTATATGTGGGGTTAACAATTTTATTGTCCTTATTCCTCCATCATATCCAAACAGCATTTATATATTAACTTTCTAGTTCAAATGCCTACAAAGTTCAGCATTTTGTACAGGTTGAACTTGTGCATTCTCAGTTCAAAAGAGCCAAAGAACGGATTGATGCTACTGATACTGAGCTGCACACTGATCTATTGTCCATCTACAGTATGAGTGCTGATGCCAAAGTAGACTCTACAATCCTACAGAGTTTGGCAGAAAAATTACAGTTGATGACCATATCAGATCTCAAACAAGAATCAATTGCATTGCATGAGATGGTGGTCTCCAGTGGCGGAGATCCTGGAAAAATTATTGAAAAGATGGTAATGCTGCTAAAGAAGGTAAAGGATTTTGTGCAGACACAGCAATCAGAAATGGGCACTCCAACAAATCCTAGGGTTCTTCCATCTCATGGAACAACTAAAACACCTATTATTCCTGATGACTTTCGCTGTCCTATATCCCTGGAGCTGATGGGAGATCCAGTTATTGTGTCCACCGGACAGGTATAAATATCCTAGATTTTGACTCTACTAGGTCGTATCTCTCATGGGCCTTGAAGATAACTGTAACTATTTATATCCTCTTCTACAGACTTATGAACGGGGATACATCAAGAAATGGCTGGAAGCAGGGCACAACACATGCCCCAAGACACAACAGAAACTATCCAGCACATCATTAACACCAAATTACGTCCTTCGCAGCCTCATAATGCGGTGGTGTGAGGAAAATGGGATGGAACCACCCAAGCGCCCAGCTCAAACTGGCAAGCCTCCATCAGATTGCTCTGCAAGTGAACATGCCAAAGTTGTTGATCTTCTCCACAAGCTATCATCACAGAACCTTGAAGACCAACGATCAGCTGCTGGTGAGCTTCGCCTTCTTGCCAAGAGAAATGCTGACAATAGGGTGTGCATAGCTGAGGCTGGTGCTATACCTGTTCTGGTGAGTTTGCTTGTTACCCATGATATACGCACACAGGAGCACGCCGTTACTGCACTTTTGAACCTCTCTATCTTTGAGGAGAACAAGGGGAAGATAATCGTCTCTGGTGCTGTGCCCGGGATAGTGCATGTTCTTAAGAGGGGCAGTATGGAAGCAAGGGAGAATGCGGCAGCGACACTCTTCAGCCTCTCTGTGGTGGACAGGAATAAAGTCATAATTGGCGAGTCGGGGGCAATCCCCCCTCTTGTTTTGCTGCTAAGTGAAGGTAGTCAAAGAGGCAAAAAGGATGCAGCAACTGCTCTCTTCAACCTGTGCATTTACCAGGGGAACAAGGGAAAGGCTGTAAGGGCTGGGGTGATTCAGACGCTGATGGGGCTCTTGACAGATCCAGAAGCTTCTATGATGGATGAAGCGCTTGCTATCATGGCAATACTCTCAAGTCATCCCGAGGGAAAGGCAGCAATCACGGCTGCAGAGGCACTGCCAGTGCTGATAAAGGTGATAAGAAGTGGATCACCGAGAAACAAGGAAAACGCAGCAGCTGTTTTGGTGCATCTCTGTAATGGGGAGCAGCAGCAGCAACATCTGGCTGAGTTGCAGGAACAGGGGATGATGGAACCATTGTTTGCAATGGTAGAGAGTGGCACTGACAGAGGCAAGAGGAAGGCTGCGCAGTTGCTCGAACGAATGAACAGGTTTCTGGATCAGCAGAAGGAAGCTCATGTTCAAGCTAAGGCTCAGACCCGAGCTTGGATACAGGGTCTGGTGGACGAGTCAAGAGATACAACTGCGTCAGCTTCGACCGATACATAGCTGGTTTATTAACAAAGGTGAAGTAACTTGCTGTTATCTAATTATAAGACTGGAGGGGTGGAAGATCACCTGCCTTGAAAAGTTAATTGGCTTGTTATTATGTTTGAGTTGGGGAGATAGGCTGGATGCGTATAATCGCGACCGCCGTAAGCAGGAGAATAGGTCAGAAAGTACCGAAAGAGTTGTTTGTAACGTGTGCCATGGTGATAATTGAAGGTATCTCATCCTCAAATTTTACGGAGGAGCGGCATCTGTTGGACGAGACACTAAGCTTTGAAAAATTTCAGGCATCATGATTCATTATTTATTCTACCTCTGTGGCTGCGTTAGGCTGATTAATTGGTCATTTGTCTCTGTTTTAGTATTCGATTAGATGGCTATGCTTCTTGTTAAGTCTACAGCTTGAATCATGCTCGCATGTGTATCTGAAGGCACAGTGTCCGAGTAAAGAGGATGCGTTCACAGAGCACAATGCGTGCCATCGATATGAACATGAAACTCATCTCTTGCACTATTGTGCGTGTTGATTTTTTCTTGTGGAATGCGTAAGTAAAAAAGAGTTTGATGAACATCAGAACTATTAGGATAGACTGCCATTCACATCGAACAGTTTGATGAACATGTCAAGATCATGCGGCTAAACTATTAGGAGAGAGATTCTGCACTTTCTAGTCCCTCACTCTCCCAACCAATATAAACACGTACGCACTGCTTCGGAAATCTTAACAGAGAGAGTATCTGCTTGAGACAAAGAATACTTGAATGCAATGGGCCCTTCTGAATGTAACGGGCCGAAGGGCATAGACAATAGGTAGTAGTTCCGATTACCAGTGACGTAAAGAGAAATAAGATTAAATGTTTCAATTTCATAAATATAAGGATCTTAATATAATTTTTAAAAATATAAAATTAAAATACTAAAAGATAATCAATTATATATAATAATATATAATTAATCTTATTAATATGATAATAATAATTTTGATATATATATTATATTAAGAATTACAAGGGTGAAGGGAAAAATAAAGAAGATATCTCTATATATGCCCCCGTAGGCCACAATAAAGGGAATCACAATGTAGTCCCTGTCACGGGGGATGAGCCGAAGAAGGCGAAGGCGGCACTGAAAGCTCATCAACCTCGTCGGTGTGGTTCATCCGCCCCACATAAACCGCAACGATGCAAGCGAGCCCACCACCCATCTCCTCCTCCTCCTCAACCTGAGCTTCTCTAACTAACACACCCTCAGACCCCTCGCCTCCCCTTCAATCTCTCATCCCCATCCCACCTCCGACTTCCCATGGCCGGTTTCCTCTCCACTCTCCGACGGATCTACCTCTCCCTCTACAACTGGACCGTGTTCGTAGGATGGTAATTTCATCTTCCTCGACCTGTTCATTTTTTGGACCATGCCGTTTTGTGGTGATCTTGTTCTTCGTGATGTGTATTCGTTCTAGGTTCCAAGTCCTCTACTTCGCCGTGAAGGCTTTGAGGGAAGGCGGGCCTACCACGGTGTACGGTTTCGTGGAGCGGCCTCTGCAGCTCGCACAGACTGCCGCGGTCATGGAGGTTAAGCATACTTTCTTTGTAAGGATCGTTTCTTCTGCGGCTATTTGCTGGTGTCTCGTGTTGATCTAGTTCCGTTTGCTTTCTTTCTTCTTTCAGATTCTTCATGGCCTTGTAGGTGAGGAACTACTTCATTTCATTTTCGTCTCACTGTGAGGACATATTGTTCTTTAAGATGTGCACATTTCTTGCCCCAAGTCATTTCTTTTGCTGTAGGCTTGGTCAGGTCACCGGTCTCGGCAACTTTGCCACAGATTGGATCAAGATTGTTTTTAACCTGGGGCATATTGTGGAGCTTCCCTGAGGTAATCATGTATCTTTTTTCCAAAAAATGCGTTCAATTGGACCACAGTTTTGCTTTGAATCGACGTCTGGAATTGGCTTACAGACGAGGGCACATATTCTCGTTAGCTCCTTGGTCATCAGCTGGTCGATCACAGAGGTACGATGCTTTATTCCCTTTTTATGGTGTTGGTAGGTTAAGCTGTTCCTTTGAAGTCATCAGGTTTTAAATGGATCATGTGATGGCTGAAACCCAAGTGCACATATCTCTGACAATTGATATAGAGATCTATGTGCAAACAGTTGGTGGTACTCCGTAAGAAAACATAACTACAATCTTGTACTATCAAGTTATGCAACTTATGAAAGAAAGATTCTTGTGCATCTTTTCAGCTGATTGTGTACCACCAAAAGAGAAAGAAATTGGCCTTGAAACATCCTTTTAGTTACTTGGGATGGATAATAAGGGGGGAAAACAGTGCGTTGCTTGCTTGCATTGTTGAATGTTAAATGCATTTCAGATTTGAGGTAAACAAGAATTTGCACTGTTTATGTGGTCCTTGGTTCATGAAGAGATTATATGTCTAGTCACATATAAATTGATAATTCCATCTGCATTGCGATGCATCATTTTATCTTTTGGATGCAACATTTTTTATGTTATGATCTGCCAAACCAAACCAAATGCATGCTGTTCAGTGCCTGTGTTATTTGGCATGTTTGACACATATAGTTCTATTCACTAATGCTTAATTTATTCCATTACTTATTTGATGGGGCTATTTTTGTTTCTTTGCCTTTTGATACAATCAACCGGAAGGACCAGATTGATTTTGCCGCTTCACGGTTGTCTCGGCGATTGGTGTCGGTCTTTTGATATAGAACCTTTGTTTGCAAAGATTTAAACTCTGGTATGATATCGAATTTGCTAACCAACCAGACTAGCGTGATATTGGTTTATCAGCAGTATGCTGACATATATCATCCAGCATCGTTAGATAAAACAATTAAGAAATGAATGATTGGGTCAATAAATTCAGTTTTGCTTTGAATGTGACCATTGAGATTTGAGACCTTGTTCGTCTATTAGGGAGCTGTTGGAAAGTCATTCTTTGCTAGTTCTTCAGGCAGAGTAATACTCAGAGCCTGCTAAACTTGATTGTCTATTAATGGTGTGCTTCTTTTGGTAAACAAGAGAGCCTGGAGGAAAAGGTGAACCGGTTGGAAAGGTGGCAAAGAGGGATGGGAATAACAACAAACCTACAATCTGAAATAGTCCAAGGTTCTAAACATCGAGTGGATTTCGTAAAAATGCATTTCTGTTTTGTTGAATTTTACATCTTGGTAGTAATGAATGGCTTCTTTTTCTGTTAGTTAACAACTATCACTGACATTATTGTTGCCTTAGATCATCTTTTCTAATTGGTTCTTCTAAAACTATACAACTGTATGTGTCAAAGTTTCTCTGCTGAATAATACTTCCATCTGTACATTTATTTCTTTTTTCTGTACATGATATAGTCAGTAGTTTCAACAGTGTGTCCTGCATGTTGCATTTTATTTTTTGATCAGCGTTCACATTGCTTTAAGAAAACTATTGCTGCATATATGAACATCATCATTCTTCATGATATTGATAAATGAATGGTCATCTTTCTTCATCTGAGGGATGCCACTTTAATCTGGAAATTTAAATACTATTTCTGTTTTCTATATTTTGCAGATCATTAGGTACTCTTTTTTCGGAATGAAAGAGGCATTTGGCTTTGCACCTTCCTGGTTGTTATGGCTTAGGTGAGTGGTCGCCCCAGATGATAGAACAATATTTTTTTTCTCTCAACAAAAAATAAACCTCTTTTTGTTTTTCGTGTTAAGCATCTTATTTGGGTGTCATTTACTGTGTGCAGGTACAGCACTTTTTTGATACTGTACCCAACTGGAATCACCAGTGAGGTTGGCCTCTTATATGTTGCTTTGCCTTACATTAAGGTATCCAAATCAAGCATATGCACTATAATGTTATTAGTTAGTTGCATTGTTTCTGATTTCTTTGTTTCCTTTCTCTCGAACGTGATGTATTGTCTAACTGTGTCATCGTGCAGGCATCTGAGAAGTACTGCATTAGGATGCCCAATAAATGGAACTTCTCTTTTGATTATTTTTCTGCATCAATTCTTGCTCTTGCAATTTACATACCAGGCATGTTTATCTGCATTTTCTTTGTATATCCTAGCCAAGCTTTGTGTAGGCAAAAACTTTTTTCTCTCTCTTCTGATCATATAACAAATATCGGCAGGAAGTCCACACATGTACCAGTATATGCTTGGGCAGCGCAGGAAGGCTCTCTCCAAGTCAAAGACGGCATAAGCCCGATCAAGCAAGGATGTAATAGGACTTATTTTGTTGACTTTTAGTTCCTTGTTGCTGCAATGTTTCTTTATGACAACTTGCTATCTGGAGAGATGTGGTAGGAAGTGCTGTTGTTCACTCATTCTCTGTCTCTTTGTAGTGGGCTAGTTTTATTGTAAGAAACACATTGTTTTATGCTAATGTTATCTTGTGACCAGTAGAGTTTGCAGTCTTGAAAAGAACTTTGAAGTCAAACTTCTTGGTTGTCCTTCGCATCTTTGTTGATCTGATGGTTTGCAGATGTTACTTGTTTTAGCACAAGTGTAGTAGGTCACGTTGCATCATTATGTGACCTCCCCCTTGTCAATTTCATTTAAACCGTTGATTTAATCGTTATTGTATCCCTTGGTGTATGATTTAATGACCCATCGATGATTTAATCGTTATTGTGTTCCTTGGTGTATGATTTAATGACCCATTGATGATGGACTAAAAATGTGTATAGGATACATATAATCGTCTCATCATCTACCAGTCCTAGTCCGACTGTTGGGTGTCATACTACAGAAAGAGATTCAATTAGCTAATCAAAGGAGATTCCCTCTACTACATCAACTCATTCCATCCTTGTTTACAGGATAAACCCAATCTAATGGAAGAGATTAAATCAATACATAGATGATTCGATTCATATATTGTAGGCAAGCAACTTAGTCAAGAGCTTTTAGGCTCCTCAAAAATGGCACAGAACTAACTTGTTTGAATGAATTCAAATTCATCATCAAAGAGAGAAGGAAAAAAAAAAAAGGAGGGTACTGTAGTCTTCAACTGTGAAACAGAAAGCACAGATGGGATCAATAATATAGGCCCATGCATTCTTCGAGTGTCATCCATGGAGGAAAGATTAAGCATCTTCTGTAGCAGCACTGGCAGCACTCAGGTCCACAGTCAAATCAGGCTCCTGTGGCATGAAACCAACAAAAGAAATGGTTAGCATTTAGCAGTGCAACTACAATTTTCTTTCTGTTTCACCCTCAAGTTCTTGGTAAAGCCTATGACCGTTCACCTCTTTCTAATTCCAGAACTCTAGAAATCTAAAGCTCTCTGATTTTGTAGATCGTTCTAAGAGTATGGACTTGTCATATTTTGATTATGAGATAAAGCAAGCATTGCAAACTAATGTTAACAAGAATTCTAAGTCTGTTGTCTTGCACATTTGGCATATCTATTATTAAGCCAAAACATATCTCATGTAGCATATGTAAAATTAGCTTGTAACATTTGTTTCAAACAGTTCAAATTTACCTTTCCAGTTATCTTTCTGTACATGGAGATGACATCTTGTACGGTTGACTCGAAGTGTGTCGTTGCATCATAACTCTGCAAAGGAAAATGTTATACCCTCAAAGCTTAGTGAACGATGACTTGAATTGTGAAACTGTATGCAGGAAAATTCAGAAGCTACACTTATACATACAGTGGATATGAAGCAGTTGTCGTGTTCATGGTTGTTTGTAGGTTCATATCTATCATAAATATGGAAGAAAGTCTCATCTACTAGTCCAAGCAGATCGATCCCGGGCTTCAGTTCCATCTCGGGATGATCCGTTTCAGCTTCAGTCGAAACAAAAGCAATATATTTTCCCTTTGGCGCAACATTGTGAGTATAAGAGCAACAAAACAAATACCTGTAGTTAGAACAGGAGTTAGAATCTAAATATCACATATTTCTTATACAGTTATTAGATGGATTTTATCAATTGGCAAGTAATCAGGACATATCATTTTCTTAGGAGTAGCTTCATGGAGCAAAACAGGCACTTCTCTAGGAAAGAAAACTTTATGGGAGTAGTCAATCTTCTTTCTTCTTTTTAGGCAAAATTTAACCCTTTCTTGTTGTATGTGCCAAAATAGTTGTGATAAGAAATAGAAAATACCTTAACAAAATATTGCAAAGATATAAAACAGGTCCCCCAGCTATATTTAACAAATGTAGAGCTGATTTATTTCCACAAGAATCCAGCAATGTTCGAGTGAATCCTTTTCAGTAAGGCTGATTAAATCTTGCTCATTCATTCTTTGCCAGAGTAGAGAAGGATTAACAATGAAAAATTCATAACAAACTAGAGCAGTGTAGTATGTCATCAATATAATAAAAACAAAAAGAAGATCGTTAATTATTCTGTAATATATCAGCTGAAAATTTTGGCTCAATCCACTATAACTTGCCAACTTATCATTAGGCTTTTATGGGAAGTTAAATTATAAGTGATTATATATATTAGAACATTTATTTGCATGCTTTCACGTGCAAGAGAAAGATAAGATTAGTGGTTAGTGCATTATTGCATAGTTGATATGTCTCGTATTCAAGTTCATCTAAAAGCCTTTTTTTTTACATTGTTGAATATAATGAATGAAAAATATTCTAAAAAACAAATTAAGGAACACATACATGTCTGACTTGCGGCTTAGTTGTTTCTGTGGAAGTATAATCTGCACTGAGTGTGAATCATTGGTGTTTGGGATTGGGTGACTCATTATACATATAGCACGCGCCACTCTTCCAACCTTCTTTACCTGTTACACATTCTGATTTAGACACCAAAACTTCAGTGTGTGCTAATTGACATACACTTAAAAGAGATCTTACTTTATCAGGCAAGTAAGAAGGATCACAGACTACTTTTTTGCATTTAGCAGTCTCTCCTTCAGATGTCACCCCATAGGCTTTTCCATCTGCATCAAACTCAACCTGTCTTATAGAACATTAGCATATTTTAGGTTTATTTTTGTTCTTCTTCATCAACTAAGCAGAGGTTATCACCTTGCATTCTGGCTTGTTAAGCATATAGGTGCCACCATAAACAGCGCTTAGACGAGCAAACCCCTATACCGAACAATAATTGTTATACTTCAGATTACTTGGAATCGTGCTTCAAAGTTCAAACAATGTCATGGTGAGATTAGAACAAACCTGAGGAAGCTCTCCCAAACCATAAAGAGGATATATATATGGAGAACCTCCTTGAAAGCGTGCCAATGAATCCGAATATAGCTGTTCAGAACAAAAGCGATGATGAGAACTTCTACATTTTTCATATGAGTTAAAGAATTGAATTAGAATAGCTAGTGAAATCACAAAAAGAAAATAAACTTACTGTGTACCCACTTAAACACAACGAATAGTCAGTAAAACTAGTAATACCGTGAAATACAGGTTACAGGCATAAATTGAGCAGTTAAGGTAATTACAAGGCCAACTAAGTTCATAAATATTAGAGTAGGTAGGGGTTTCACAACTCAAAGAGTAAGTAGTTTATAATAGACTAAAAATGGGACCAACAGGTAGGTGTGACAGATTCTCAAAAGACCTTCATTCTCTTTATGGTATCAATTGCAGGCTCATCCAAGTAGCTATCATCTCTATGAAGTGCCAATGCATGCCCAATAAAGTCAATGGTGTTGTCTTCCAGTCCATACTTGCTGCAGCAACGAAGGCAAAGTTTTAGAAATCAATAACTTGTATGCAATTACTTCTAATATTTGTCAGAGTGAAATATTCAATGGAGAGAATGTTAGATGAAGGGAGCACTTCAGTGAAGGATAAGCTAAACTGGAATGTGCCTACCTGTGTTGATAAGATTAATATGGTTGGAAAATTCAGTGAATTGTACCATCCCCACTGAATAATTTTGTTACCAGTTGAAGGCCCTCGATGCCCTATAAAGTCCAAACCTTATACTTGAAACTCTATTCTAAAGGTATTCTTTCTCATGATCTCCCATGTTTTGTTCTAACATATGATACTAGAATAGAGGGGATTATGATCTTGTGCACACATAATACCCTTCTGTAATTATTATTTTTTTTTGTCAGCTATTTGAACCAAACATAAATTAGTTAGTAAAAGACACATATCTGTGAAGGATCAGCATGAACACAACCTTGTCATAAAAAATGGCCCTGATTGCTATTGGAACTTAGACATGAACTACCTGTGGAATCAGTAATCAAATGTGATTTAAGCTACTTTTGCCCATTTAGATAAAACAAAAACTTGGAATGACAAAGATAAGAGACCTACGAAATGACTTCTTTAGTTGTAACTTTATGCAAATCCAGTCCTTCATGCGACTTTGGATCATCCTCTGCATAATCTTGAACATAGATAAAAAACTTTCGGGCACGGCGTTTCTCGAAAAGTCCCATCAATGGAGATTTCAGTGCCTCAACATCAGTGGCTGGTACTTTGTATATCTAGCAGAACAACATGAGAATCCAATGAAATTTTTTTGAAGTGGATCACAAACACTAATAGTAGATGATGAAAGAAAATACATTTGTACCTTCCCTTTGTTGTACACAAAGCTACCATCAACTGCTTTGAAGTTCAAATACTTGGTAACACTGGTGTGGATGAGAACACGAACCAGAGCACCGTTGGCCATCATGAACTGCCAAATAATAATATGGTATAAATAATTTGAAAAATCAAAGTACAAACATTTGTTTGAGATCTTTTAATCCCAAATTTGCAAGACTAGAGGGGGAAAAGAGGATCAACAAAAGACCATGGTACCATTATAGTTGTTGTTCAGCACACTTTCTTAACAGATGACTAGTTTTCATAAATGATATTTTTCTCCTGCCGTGTGTATATAAAGGATCTGTCTGCTTCAATGCATGGGGAACATGAAGAAAAAGCTCAATCTTGATAGAGTCTGAGGGATTCCTCTGAGGAATCTGTTTATAAAGCAAACTACATTCACATTCTATCAGGTTATTACATCTTCCTAATTTCTTAAACAAATTACAAGTTCTATTTCGGCAGGAAATAGATAGATGAGGGGAAAGATGACCAATCCCTCTGAACATTTGATCACAGAAATGAAAAAGAAACAAACTTTTGTAAGGACAGAATTGTCGAAGAGCATGGTGCACCATTTTCTTTAACATTCTCCTTCCTGCACATGCTTTATTTCACTATTCCACAATAATCATATATACTAGATTGGGAAGAACTCAACTAAAGACATTAACAGAAAAAGATCCGCGGTGAAGAGAGAGATAGAATACCACTTTTTTGAGTTGCTTGCACCCTGAATTCATTTTGCAGAGATTTTGGACATTTCCTATTTTTTAATGTGGTTAACCAACATAAATTGGTCAGGAAATCTAGCTAATAATACCCATCTTCCAAAACTAACCTAGAACAGAGCAACCTTATATGAATCACTAAAAGATGTTACATCCTTTGGTGCATTTAGTGATAATAAACCATAACTAAATCAAAAAGAGAGCAGTAAAAGTACAGTACACCTTAGGGACCATATCGACATTGTACTCCTTGCTCGAGCCTAGATGTTCTGACGGCTTGTCGTTGCCTTTGAATCGCTTCCAGAGCTATTATATCAAACATGTTCAGTGCAAGAAAAATAATGTGAATATATGAATAATACTCAATGAGATTATGAGGCAAAGATTCCTCCGACAATACCTGAATGAGATTAAGAGATGTCGACTCGCCGCCATAATAGTCATTCCGGTCCATGTGAAGCACCTGTCTCACCATGCACAACCAATCAATATGCACTGCACAATATTAAGCGCCAAACACATCAAGAAAACACCAAGCCTTTTGTTTCCACAGAGTGCTAATGATGTGATGCGTTAAAAAAATGGAAGGGGAGAGGAAGGACCTTGAGCCCATCGACAGAGAGGAGGCCGCTGAGGATGCATTCCTTGAGGCCGGTGCCAAGGACTATAACATCGTATTCCTCATCCATTCTTCGACTGAGAGCTGTAGAGATGAAGGAAGAACGAAAGCGGAGTGGGGAGGGAGGGATTAATTGGGAGGGTGGGGAGGGAACAGGAGAAATGAGAATGGAGAGCAGGTCTTCAGGCGGGAACTCATGGCGGGAATGTCGTTAAAGCCGTTATACTCAGCACCAACGGGATGACACGTGGTCGGCGATGATTCCACCTGCTCGTTGGTGCTTATCCGTCCGATCAGTGGACCCCGAATTGGTTCTGCATCTCTTCTTTCTCCTCCTCGATCTCTCTCGGTGGCATCCTCGGGGTTGCCGTCTCTCGCGGATGACACTCCCACATGGAGACGGCGACCGCCGTGTGAGCGTCAAGGCGCTATATTCTTCCACCGCTTGAGCCCTCCCCGTCTTCTTCGAGCTGCATAAGGTAAATCCTCTGACAGGGAGACTCGAAATCCGTTCTTTTCTAGGGTTAGGACAAGGTTTTGGTTCGTTCTGCCCCTTTTCGCCCGTTCTTTTTCTTGGTTCGCCCCCTCGGTATTCTAGGGTGGGGGATGGCAGTTTATCAGGGATTTGGGAATGGAATCGGTGAGGGTTTCTTTTACGGGATGGTCTTGTGGGGTCTTCAACACTACCAGATTGGTAGGAGGTGATCGAGACCATGGATTCGTCTCCGCCCGCGACGATCGCGACGATGAGCTCTCGATCGAGTCCTCGAATCTCCGAAGGCGGGTGCCGCTGGTGGCTCCATCGGGGCTGGGCAGCGTATGATGTGCGCGATTCTTCCCTGCTCACTGAGAAATCGAAGGGCAAGATCATCCACAGCGCGAATGGCGTCTCGGGGCTTCGCATGTCCCGCCTGCAACTTGATTGTGCTGCTTGTCCGTGACACGACTTGGAGAACATGTACATGTCGTGTTAGTGTTCGAGGAGCGGCCAGAGAACACGGTGAGGAAGACGGAGATGTTGAGCCTCGGTTTCCTCTTTAGTATTGATGGAGTTTTGGTCTCATCGGATGCATGAGAAGCAGTGCAGGGGATCGGACCTTTCGGTGGTGAGGGAGCGTTCCCAAGAACTGGGTGAAGCCATCAATGGCAAACGGGATTAGAAGGATTCTTGGTCATGGTTAGCTTTGCCTATCTCCGATCATCAACATTCAAGCTCACGGATCCTTCTCCCAATTTAATATTCAAACAACACTGTTAAGTCTTAGGGGACAATAAAAGGAAGCGTTCATTTATTGCTTGTCATCTTCTTACAGGGAACAGTAGGAGGATGTGTCAAACATGACCAGACACCAACGAAAAAAACACAGTTGATTTGATGGCGGAAACAGACGACTCGGTACCCTATCACACTTAGTCGACCTCCTCAATCGTAGGTCCTGCACCGCCGGCGCCGGCAGTGGCGCCGCCCTTGGCACGACCCTCGTCCATGCCAGCTCCGCCATTTTGGTACATCTTAGCGATGATGGGGTTGCAGAGGCTCTCGAGCTCCTTCATCTTGTCCTCGAACTCATCGGCTTCCGCCAGCTGGTTGTTATCCAGCCACTTGATCGTCTCATCGATCGCGTCCTCTATCTTCTTCTTGTCTCCCGGCGAAAGCTTGGAGCTGATCTTGTCGTCCCTGATGGTGTTCCTCATGTTGTAGGCGTAGTTCTCCAGGGCGTTCTTCGCTTCCACCTTTTTCTTGTGCTCCTCGTCGTCCGCCTTGTACTTCTCTGACTCCCGGACCATCTTCTCTATCTCCTCCTTGCTCAGCCTCCCCTTGTCGTTGGTGATGGTGATCTTGTTCTTGTGCCCGGTGGTCTTGTCCTCTGCCGTCACGTTCAGGATCCCATTGGCGTCGATATCGAAGCAGACGTTGATCTGAGGCACGCCGCGGGGGGCGGGAGGGATGCCGGAGAGCTCGAATTTGCCGAGCAGGTTGTTGTCCCTGGTCCTCGCCCTCTCGCCCTCGTAGACCTGGATCAAGACTCCCGGCTGGTTGTCGGAGTAGGTCGAGAAGATCTGCTCTTTCTTGGTGGGGATGGTCGTGTTCCTCGGAATCAGGACGGTCATCACGCCGCCAGCGGTCTCCAGCCCGAGGGAGAGAGGAGTGACGTCCAGCAGCAGCAGATCCTGCACCTTCTCGTTGCCCTCTCCGCTCAGGATCGCGGCTTGCACCGCCGCACCGCAGGCGACAGCCTCGTCGGGGTTGATGCTCTTGCAAAGCTCCTTCCCATTGAAGAAGTCCTGCAACAGCTGCTGCACCTTGGGAATCCTGGTCGAACCCCCGACGAGGACGACGTCATGGACGCTGCTCTTGTCCATCTTGGCGTCCCTCAGGCACTTCTCCACTGGCTCCATGCACTTCCTGAACAGGTCCATGTTGAGCTCCTCGAACCTCGCGCGCGTGACGCTGGAGTAGAAGTCGATCCCCTCGTATAGGGAGTCGATCTCGATGGTGGTCTGAGCGGTTGAGGAGAGGGTCCGCTTCGCCCTCTCGCACGCCGTCCTCAGCCGCCGCAGAGCCCTCGGATTGCCGCTGATGTCCTTCCTGTGCTTCCTCTTGAACTCCTGCACGAAGTGATTCACCATCCTGTTGTCGAAGTCCTCTCCGCCGAGGTGGGTGTCACCCGCGGTGGCCTTCACCTCGAAGATGCCCTCCTCGATGGTGAGGAGCGACACATCGAAGGTGCCGCCGCCGAGGTCGAAGATGAGCACGTTCTTCTCGCCCGAGCTGCCGGCCTTCTTGTCGAGGCCGTACGCGATGGCGGCGGCGGTGGGCTCGTTAATGATCCGCATGACGTTAAGGCCGGCAATGACGCCGGCGTCCTTGGTGGCCTGGCGCTGGGAGTCGTTGAAGTAAGCGGGGACGGTGACCACGGCGTTCTTGACGGTGGTGCCCAGGTAGGCCTCAGCGATCTCCTTCATCTTGGTGAGCACCATGGAGGAGATCTCCTCTGGGGAAAACTGCTTTTCCTCGCCCTTGTACTGTACCACGATCATGGGCTTGTCGCCGGGGCCGGCGATGACCTTGAAGGGCCACAACTTCATGTCGCTCTGCACGGAGGGGTCGCTGAAGCGCCTGCCGATCAATCGCTTGGCATCTGCACCAACAAAGAGATCAGAACTCGCTCCTTGCTCCATCCATCAAACACGGATCGAGACCATCGAACGACTACAGATGAGCATCGGACAGAACACAGCATGTTCGAAGCAGGGACAAGGAGGGTCTTACCGAAGACGGTGTTGGTGGGGTTCATGGCGACCTGGTTCTTGGCGGCGTCGCCGATTAGGCGCTCGGTGTCGGTGAATGCGACGTAGGATGGGGTGGTGCGGTTGCCTTGGTCGTTGGCGATGATCTCCACCCGGTCGTGCTGCCACACCCCGACGCACGAGTAGGTGGTGCCGAGGTCGATCCCGATAGCTGGCCCCTCGCCCTTCGCCATCGATCACACAGCTAGAAAATACCACAAGAAACGAAAGAAGAAGAAGACGACGACTAAGCTTTTCGGTCGATGCGAGTTTTCTCGGTTTGTGTATGTGAAGGCGAGGGAAGGGATGGGCGTCGTTTTATATCGGAGGGCTGTGGTCTCGGGAAGCTTCTGACACTGAGATTTTGACCGTTCGATCACCCGCAAGGTAGTTTGGGTTGGAAAGCGGGAGACGATTCGTTCATCCACTGGGCGCTTCGAGAATCCTCTCGCGGGTTTATTCGAACATTCCAGCTTCCGTCACGCTGGTTGATGGGCAAATTTGTCAAATGGAACTATAAAAAAAAAGAGAGAAGAAACTGATGGGTTTAAATTTATTCTGCTTCTTTTTTGAAGAATAATTTTTTGCGGTTAATAGTGAATTTCTTTTTATCATGAGTCGAGCTTATCAATCACAAAATAAGCAAAAAATATGATCAGCATTAGACACCGAATTAAATGCAATATTTCAATTTAGTACGGTCTTGTTAAATTATATAATACTTTCTTTACAGGTAATCTTTGGGTGTCCAATGATTAGATTAAAATTCTAATTACCTGCAACCTGGTTTTTATTATGCAGATCAAATGTTCACAGTAACTCACAATTTTTTATCACACGATTTCCTATTAAAAAGATAAAACTTAGTAGTCAATCTTTATACTCGATTAAATTCTAGAATCTTGATTCTGTAGGGCAGCTCACTATAATCTTTTAACATGATATATAAATACGATACGTATTCATAATAATTTCATTAATTTTTCTATTTTTGAATAATTTTGATATATTTTATTATGCAATCGAATACGACACGCTCTTAACTTACAATGACATACTTGTTCTAGTGGCACCCAGGTAAATTAAAGAAACTAAAAAAAAGAAATGCTCGGTGTAAAAGCGTTGGGACTTTTTCTGGATAACCTTGCCAAAGATAAATACCATAATCCATTAGAGCGATAAATATGACCACGCATCGCCACATCGGAGGACGGGCTTCCACCAAGTAGTTCTCCCAGCGCACCACCATCTGCCCCCAGTTCTTGGCCTGGGGCGGACTCACCGGTACCGCTCCGTTCTCGACCGCCCGCATGTAGGCCACGTCCACGTCCGCGTAGGCGATTGGACGGCGCCGGTCCTTCCGTCGGTTTCCAGCTGGTGCAGCGGCGTGAACGCGATGGCCGTCTGCCCGCTCTCCAACTCTCGCCCACCTGACCACGGGAGCATGAGATCAGTGTGATGTAGAGAGCAGAGAGTTCACTAGCTGGAGAATATGAGAGTGGAATTCGCTCTCCACAACTTCCTGCAATATGTGAGTGTTCCTGTACCAAGATACGACCTGAAAGAAAATTAAAATTTGTTGTTTTATTGCACCCCAAAAACAAAAACTCTAAATTTACCTTGTTGGCCACAATCTTCGAATTCCACCCCCTGTCGAGAGAATTGCGTCCGATGAAGCATATGTAGGTTGTTGCTTTCGCAGATCTGTACTTCTTTCAACATAATATATCTGACTACCAGAAGATAAAGCTTGATTACAGCTTCAGTCTCACTACTGAAATCTGGATTTGCAAAACCGTAATGTCGAACATGTGATAAGATGAAGATATGTTAAGTACCTTCATGCTTCATAGGCACTCAAAAGGCAAAGTGAGCACCAAGAAACTCGTCCTAGGAATGATCGGGCGATCCATGTGCAGCCTTAATTGAAGATACAATATCAACAGATCATCATAAAGTAACAAAACAAATTCACTATAAATTCTAGGACACCATATGTAGCATCAAACTTTACCACCAGTGATTTAATTGAAGATACAATATCATCATATAGTATCAGATCATGGTAAAAATCTACTCATCACCATGTCCACAACAACACGATGAAACAGAGCTACCATATGGAAGAGACAAAAACTAATGTTAGAAAGAGACCAGTAAACTAGTTACCGAGAGTTTTCAACATATCACAGTGTAACAACGCGGAAGCATGGTAAAATCTAGGGTACCACCATATGCAACATCAAAATTTACCATCAAATGCTTGTGGTCCTACTTTATGATTTAGTTAGAAGACAAATGAAAATATACAACATTGACGCATGGCAAAATCTAGGACAGCACCACATGTAACATCAAAATTTACCATCAAATGTTTGTGGTCCTACTTTGTGATTTGGTTAAAGACAAAAAAAAAAATCAAAAACAAAACAGGGAAACAGATGCTACAACGATCGCAGTGGGATTCGAACCCACGACCTTTAGATCCGGAGTCTAACGCGATATCCACTCCGCTATGCGATCTCTGTTATTGTTTATGCAGTATTCATGTGATCTTTTTTATTAATATCGTGCACAAGATTCACATAGTAAAATGATATCTGTTTTCTACATAATACTTGGTATTAGTGAAGTATCAAATAGAGAAGAAAGGATATAGTGCTGTTCAAATTATAGTTAGTCTAACAGACTGATGACATGAAAGTTGGAAGCCGGATAATTAATGAGAACTAAAAATACGTCAGAAAGTTCAACTCCAGATAAAGGAAAATATACCTGGGAGGACTAGTTTGTTCACATTTGCAAAACATCCTTTTAAATTTCCCAGCGTCTCTAGGAGTTGCAATCTGGCTGAAATAACCTGATGACGAAATCACAAAGTAGGTAATGACTGAAAAGAAAAGTAATATTTACAAGATTTACTTGCACACTGCTGCTTTGCTTTGGTCATTACCTGAACAAATAGGTTTGAAAAAATCTTAATAGGGTTCAATAGGTTTTTGAGTATAAGGGTTGTGTAAGTATCTTCTCAAGAATTTTACCTTACCTTTGCTGGGTCAATTATATGTGGGAATCAGGTCGAGCAGAAATCTTGTAGGCCTCTGTTAGTCTGATACAATAATATTGTGATAGATTAACAGGCCTTTAAGAACCATTATGTGATGATAAAAAACTGTTCAGAACTAATTTCAACATTTCATTATCCAGAAGCCACATCTAGATCCTGGTACCAATTTACTAATTTATCCATCTTTGTTTCCTAGACCTGATAATACAAAAGGATCTATCATGCAATAAATTCAATCTTTCCAAGTCATTAGTATGCTGATACTATCATTTACCCCAGTAAGTAGAAAAAGAATAAACTTCAGCATTCATTAATTTGCTTTGTTTAACTTCTTCCACCCGATAATATTGAATGAAATTAAGGAGAAAGGAGAGACAGATGGAGAGAGGTGACTGGTGAGGAGGTAAACCAAGCAGTACAATCGAATAATTATATCAAAACAACTTCCTGATCACATCTTCACAGACGTTTATGTTGGACTAGCCAAATTCTTTGAAAAAAGAGGAAATTCAGCTCAGGTGGGGTGTTTACCTGTAAGATAGTATCAACTGATCACCACTCTCCCATCGTCCATTCATTACTTCTCCATAGTCCATTGCCATTCACAAAGACGGGCAAGATCCCTTCCCCTGTGACGAACAATGACAACCTGTTTGGTTTATCCCCCACCATAGCAGTGCATTTAGGACCCAAATGGATATCTAGCACTGATATGCTGAGCCTGGGCATAAACGCATTTCGAAAAATGAGCTTTTCAGTAAGCTCTTGCATTTCAAAAAATATCACATGAAGAAACAAAAATAGATCCATAAATAAATATAAAAGTCGAGATTAAAGTGCAGTAATATTTGCACAACAATTAAACCACTTTTTACTTTCAGTTCAGAGATACTATCTCAATTTACAAACTCCGACATTGAACCAACCACAAAATGACACAAACTTGATGAAAATAACAGTCAAGCCAGGTACTGGACATGACAAACTACATGATTGGTCAAAGCAAAGGCCAGAGATGGTTAAATTCTGGAAGGAATTAGCACCTAACATGTCATGATGTACCTGAGGCTTGCAGATAGATACGTGGTAACAACAGCATATAAATTCCACATAGAGGGCTTTGAAGATAGATATGTGCTAACAGTATTATATAAGTCAACTTTGTTTGTTACTAGTAATCAGGGTGAAAAAAATCGAGGAACAGAAGAAACTGAAGATGGAATTTAGTAAGATGGAACAAAAGGTGAGCCTATAGCAACTATTATCGCACACTCATCGCATTAAAGAGGTCCTTACAGTCAGATTAGTGATATAATGGCAGAGGCCTAAACATCGGATCTAGTTTGACTATAGATTGATCTTCCAAGAACTAATCTACGACAAGAATCCCATCACACACGCATCATCCATCCCAACTAATATATCCTCCCACGCCTAACCAGATTGGCCCCCTTGGCAAACATCCGTATTAACCGTCACGATGGAAATCGCGATTAGATCGCATTGGGAATCATGCGACCAGTATTAGGGTTAAAAGTCGGAAGATCTGCTCACCTCCGATTGAGCTCCTGCACGAATCGGGAGTTCTTGGCGTCCTCATCTGCAGATTAAGAAAAAAGAAGGGAGTTAAAGAAGGATCATAAGAAGAAGAATAAGAAAAAGAATGGAGAGATCGGAGAGGAAAGATGGGCGAACCAGCCGGGGAGGCGGTGAACTTGACGATGAGGGCCCCGGTGATGGTGAATCCGACGAGGAAGGGTCAGTGAGGCTCTGCTCCCTGTCGATGAACACCGGCCCCGGATCGGACTTCCTCGTCTCTCGTCCCCCTTCTCTGTTCCCTATGCGATGCGTATTCCGTTTCGAGACATTGTACAGTCTCATCATTCACTGAAGTACCCCCAACGACGGTTAGATGTGGGCCACGTGGGCCACTTTGTCTCTTATTTGAGTTATTTCGTATAACTAAGTCTTTATTAGTTTATTATCGTGATTTCAAAAGATTAATCATTAATTAATTGTCTTAATAATATCTTATTTTTATCTCTCTCTGGTGTAGCAGATTAATCTTTTATCTTTGTTGCACCGCTATGTAATTTCTAGGTCAGATTCCTCACTTAGGCAGTCAGGGTTCAGATTTGTCGTGCAGTTACATCCATCTGATCTAGTGGGGTCGGCTCCGGAACTCGCCATCGTCATGGGAAACAGCAGGTCTGTGTGGAATCTGACAGAGAATCCCACAACTGAAGTCGCCGCGACTTGGTTGCCCATATTCGGCACTGAGCTCTCGGTTTCTCGACCGAACTCTCCGCCATTTGGGAAGGCGTCGGATGGAGTCGCATCGCCCGTTCTTCCTCCTCCTCCTCCTCCTTCTCCCTTCTTCTTCTTCTTGCGCTACCCCGAACCGTCACCGAGCATATCCTCGTCATCTGTTGTGGTCGGCAGAGAGCCTCATCAGGGACCTCAACCTCCTCCCGGGAATCCAAGAACTCGGAGCGGGAACTGAGGCGGACGATCCATCGAGCCCTCGCCTCGTCGAGCGAAGGCTCGATCTCCGAATCCTTGGGGAGAGCGGATCGGAGATTCCCGTCGAGCAGCTGGGTCATCACGCAGGATACTATCGCCTAGAACACACTCATGCCGCCAAGTACTGAAGCACTAAACCCTTTTCTTTCAACTTAGGAAGTGCTTTGTGTTGTGTTAAAAGCTCTTTAACTGAGCAAAGGCTGTTTTTTCTTTGAATCACTATGCGGTAAAAATTTAAGTTTTCTGTTTTGTTGGCCGTACATATAAGTATTGATTCACTTAGGGTTTGACGGGTATACTACTGTCAACTTTAGTTAAAATATTTTGATAAGTAATTTGGATTAAACACAGTTGATAGATGGTAGCCCATCCGACTTGAGTCAAGCATGGTGAGGTGCTCGAGTAGGAAAGGATTACGTGTGGATAGTCAATGACTTTGGTTTAATAAAGTTGATGGATTAGTTATCCCATTGGATCCGAGTTGTGACAAATAATATGGAGTCAAAGAATTCATCACGCCGTGAAGCTATCACTGGGTTATAACTCACAATGCATTATGCTAGAGTTTAATCTAGGTATACTAGGCCTTGACGAGGACATCCAAAATTTTGGGGTTCTTGCAAACAACAAATAGTTCTTCAAGCTCTGTCCAAAACCAATTAGTTTTACATATATACCCATCAGCAACAACAATATTTAGACAATTCTTATGTGAGAATATATCTAATCATTTCATTAGGGCATTATAAGTTCAGGATATTTGCTTGAGTGGATTGGAAATTTGGACTGCTTGTGTGTGAGATTTTTCTATATCTACTTATGCATGGATATTTATGTTTGCATCTGTGCTTGTGAAGCTTGTATTCCCCATAATGCTGTATACTCAGGTATCAATGGCACTTGGATTTCATAGGCAGCTTCTTGTTGGCTGCAGGATGTTCTATTTCTTCTTTGAGTCTCGAGGCAGAAGTAGTGACCCGGTTGTCATTTGGCTGACCGGTGGTCCTGGATGCAGCAGTGAACTGGCCCTATTTTATGAAAATGGTCCCTTCAAGATTGCTGATAACATGTCACTTATATGGAATGACTATGGATGGGACAAGGTACTCTATCTATGACCACTATATTGTTGTCTTCATTTTCTTGAAATGTGTACATTATTTGCCAAAGGGATGAAATCTTCTAAATGATTATCCATTAGTTACCTCGTGTTCTTCATCTGATTGAGTGCTTGAGATTGAGTGCATTGCCTGATCATGCTGTTAGCATATTTGGTCACTGTGTCACCAAGTTAGGTGGTAATATTTAATTCCATTTACTTCTGCACTGTACATTATCTTTCTTGGTGACATTTTCTAGCTGCATATTCCTTTTTCACCTTTTCCTTACTAATATCTGCTGCTGTGTGCATATGTATACATCTAAGCTGCATTTAAACTAGAATAAAGACAATTTTTTGGGAACAAGGATGGCCAATAGCCAAAGCATGACAAGGGTTTAATGAACCGCGGAAGATTTAAGAACTGATAGCACATCATTAGTTGGAAAGATCTAGTGAATCTTTACAAACATCTTCCTGTTATGACCAACAATTTTATGTTTCGGACTTGTCACTTGGATGACATACTATGCCATCCTGATATTTGTTTATCTATGGAATGTTCCATTTTATGGCAGGCATTTCTTTCTGCAAATTGAATATGCGGCAACTTTTCTGGACGCTTTCTCTTTTGTTAAAAAAAAAATATACTCATAAACAGATGGACATCTATAAACTGAGAAACTAAAGCAAGGAACTTTATGTTGAAGTACAATGTCTAGTCAGTACTCCTACATTAGCCTGTCAATCATCGTGATAATTTTTCTGTGAAAAAGTCAAGAATCTATCCTAGTTACTCTACATATCTTCACCACACACTACTATACCATAATACTATATCCTGATTTTACCATAGTATTCCATGATTGTTTAGGTATTCATCATGCTTTATCTTTTCTCCAGGTTTCAAATATTATCTTCGTTGATCAACCCACTGGAACTGGCTTTAGTTATAGTACAGACTTAAGAGACCTTCGCTACGGTGAGAAAGGTGTTAGTGATGACCTATATGATTTTTTTCAGGTAAATAATTTATATTATTATTACTATTATATATATATACACACACACAGACACACACACACACACACACACCAGAGAAGGATTTGATTGTTGATATTTTGAATACACTATTATTTGTTTTCCTTGAGTGTAGGCCTTTTTCAAGGAGCATTCAGGTTTCTTAAAGAATGACTTCTATATAACTGGAGAATCATATGCGGGACATTATATTCCTGCTGCTGCCGAAAGAATTCATAGAGGAAACAAAGAAAAGCAAGGTCTTCTGTTAAATTTAAAGGTAAATCGCAGATACTCTTTTTAGAGTTCATGCTTGTAGCTATATGGAACACTGCTTTAGAATAATACTTGATCGTGTAGTAGTTTTAGCATATAAACAGATGATTTTATGACATGCTTTAGCATGATCATCATCTTCCAGAATTATCATGTGTTCGTTGTGTCTAGTAGGAGAACTTAATCATAATTGAGCAAGTATATTATTTACTTTTTATGTAGGGTTTTGCCATTGGCAATGGGCTAACAGATCCTGCTATTCAATATGGAGCTTATGCTGATTATGCACTTGAGATGGGTATTATCGGACAAAGAGCACATAATAGCATCACCAGAATATATCCTGTTTGCCAACTTGGAATAAAGCTCTGTGGTAACTGGCTCTTTCTTTTGTCATGCTCCTTCAATGCTGCAGGAAGTAAATGAGTAACTTTGTAAGATAAAATAATGATCTCCAACTGTTACTTGTGCAGGTTCTTCTGGGGTTATATCATGTGTTGCTTCTCTAATTGTCTGCAACTCCATATTCAATGCAATTTTACTTCTTGCTGGAGATATTAATGTACATTTCTGTCTATCCTCAAATTAGTTATAATGCACTGTATTTAATCTTCCTTGTCTAAGAAGCACCTTCTTTCCTACAGTACTATGATATCCGGAAAAAATGTGAAGGGAGTCTTTGTTATGATTTTTCAAACATGGAGAAATTTCTGAACCAGGAGTCCGTGAGGGATGCTCTTGGTGTTGGAAGTAGGAAGTTTGTATCATGTAGTCCTCTTGTGTATGAAGCCATGATTACTGACTGGATGAAGAACTTAGAAGTGGGTATTCCTACTCTTCTTGAGGATGACATCAAATTGCTGGTATATGCTGGTGAATATGATCTCATTTGTAATTGGTTGGGTAAGCACATAGTCCTAAGTAAATCCATAGTTACGTTGGTGTTTATTGTTCTGACTGTTTTAATACATTTGAGTAACTTAAAGACAGTGTTCCTAACTATGCATGTAGCTTAATAACATAAGCCTATATTTGATGGTAGATACATGTACATCCCACTGATGAACATAAAAGCTTAAGTGTATCATTTTGACTTATTTTAATCTGTTTATTTATTCCGCAAAAAGTTGCCTTCTTCAGTTTTACATGTAATTTATCTGATATATGATTTAATATTGTTCAAAATTCAAGAACAGAAAAGTAATGTGTTTATAAGTAGTATTTTTATGTTAATTAGACATAAAATCCAAGAACACAACTTGTCATCTAAACTCCAAAAATACATATTAGAGACTAGTGTTCTTCAACATTTAAGAAGCTTCATGAAAGATGGCAAAATTTTATGACCTGTTAGCTGTTATTCTTGAGTTAGTTAATTATCCTTAGTGTCATGTTCTTGGCCAAGCCTTAATCCATAAAGCTTTAGACGGTCTTCCAACTTGCTGCATTTTCCCACAGTTCCTACTTCAAGGATTTCCGCAAAGGTGGCTGAACAAGTCACCTCTTCATGTTAAGGTTTGGTTGCATCTTCAAGAATGACCAACGCCTAACTTATGTAAAGCAAACCGTTTATAAAGATTGTTTCTGTTGACAGTAAATGGACTGGCTTAATTGTATAGCCTTAAGGTGGAAGGTGCATCCCATGCTAATTTCGTTTTTTGAGATATATATAACATTACACTGTTTGAGATGTTCTCATGTAAAAGCAACTTTGTGTTAAGACTTTACGGCTTTGTTGTTGTTGTATCTTGGGATTAATCATTTGACAAATAAATAGTAGAATGTGACTTCAGCAACCTGCTGAGTAGAGGAGGGGTTCTGTAAATTTTTCTGCTGCTAAAGAGAGTAGGATATTTCTTGTTTATACTGCATGTAAGAGAATCTGACATGTAAACTCCTATATAAGAAACTCAAAGAGATGGAAATGATCTATGTCCAAGATACCAAGATCTGTGTTTGAATGTGAATGTTAACATGATGTTGTGTTTACACTGAACTAGTAATTAATTTGCAGATGTGGTTTTGTGCAGGAAACTTAAGATGGGTTAACTCGATGGAATGGTCAGGTAGTCAGAATTTTACTAAAGCTCCATTCAGACAATTTGCTGTCCATGGCAAAGAGGCTGGAATCTTAAAAACACACGGGCCTCTGAGTTTTATAAAGGTTAGAACTCATGAATGGTTATATTGATGTCCTTTTCCTTCCATTCTAGCATTTGCTGATTTGAGCTGGGGTCAAGATTGTTGAATCGATGCAATAGGTCCTAAAGTGTAAAGTGAACTGCATCTTGATTAGGATTATTTTTTTTTTACAAAAATCAAAGTAGTTCACATTGATTGGATAGTATTCCCACCCATCATGAATTTTCCTTCTTATTTGACTTGCATGAACCATTCAAATTGCCTTAATGGTTCTACATGGGATGTATCACCTGTAGTTTTAGAAAGATCAATGGTCTATTGCTTGTCTAGGTCCATGATGCTGGTCATATGGTCCCAATGGATCAGCCTGAAACAGCACTGGAAATGCTCAAGAGATGGATGAAAGGAAACTTCAATGAAGAATGGAACATCACTGCAGTTGCTGTAATGTAATAATACTAAACAAAGGTGTTCATCAGCTTGATGTACAGTAAGCTGCTCACTTTTGTGTCCTATAGAGACAGCTCCTTACGGTGGTGTTTATGGATGCATGTTGTGTATATGTTCCATGTACATATGCAAATAGTTTTCTTATGTAACTTAAAACATCCAAATGCTGGAAACATCTACAGCAAGATCAGTGTAAACCTGCTTAATGAGCTTATTATCTCTCTAATCATCAGGTCTGGAGCTTTTTATATTGTTTATGTTGTTGAATGATCCCTGCTTCAAGTAACTAAATGGCTGCATCACCTTTAATTTCCCACCTGATTCTATAATTATATGTTGTGAGCTCCAACTATATTAATGTTCCTCTTGCTTCATCCTTCACTTGTGCTATTTGTTGATTGTTGATTGCATAATAGATTGCATGCTATCTCGTGCTTGGAAATTTATGATGATTTTTGTGATGACATCAATATCTCAAGCAGACATCAGAAAAAAGAGTCACAGGCAGGATTGAAACAGCCACTGCATGCAGGCATCAATTGATTCATGCGACAGTATTTACAGCAACAGTACACTGTGGTTTGGCAGGGGAAGAGAGAGGCTCCCTCAGGTCCTTGGCCTGTATCAGACTTTGGAGCACCACCACCTGAACATGAAGAAGAATCGATCTTCGATGCCACCAGGCTTAGCTGGATGTCTCCTCCTCTTCGTCCTCCCACAGCCCGATGGCCCGTGTGACGCAGACAGAGGCGGCGACCACCACCACCGCGAACAGCGGGGGGATGAGGACGTCCATGCCGGAGCGGTCGAAGAGGTAGGCCGGCACGCACACCACCTCCCCCGGCGGCCCGTCTAGCGGGAGCCTCACCGAGGCGGCGCCGCACGGGCGCGCGAAGGCCGAGGACGGCGAGACGGCCCACACGAAGGCCAGCTCCGGCGAGAAGGCCGCCACCGCGACCGTCGCGGTGATCATGGCCGTCCAGGTGGCGGCGTACACGAGGAGCGGCCAGCGGTGGAGAAGCGCGTCTCGGAACTCGGCGGAGAGGAAAGGGAAGGCCATGGTGGCGGAAAGCTGCCTGTCGGTAGAGCGCGCGAACACAGTATATAATAGTCGCAGTGGTGGAATCGAGAGAAGCAGAACGCGTGAGGGGGCGGGGGTGAGGTTTAAGTGGACGAGGAGTCGGTGACCGGACTCGCTGACGCATCTTCTCAGCGACTCCTCATGTTGATCTGGTTCGGTTGGGTTCCTCCGTTTCTTGAATTCTTTTAGTTGGCAAAACAAAAGGGAATTGAACAAATCATCTTTCATCTTTAAACATAGATTTGAAACTTTAATTCCTGATAAAATTTGAGTGTTAATTTACGGATTAATAAATTTAGCGATGATTTCTTACATATTCACTTATAGGGATTCCATATATATACAATTAATTTTCTTTTAACTATCAATGGTTCAGTTCAAATCCGTATCGAATCGACAACTTAGCAGTGTCGATTTGAATTAGAACGAGAATAGTCTTCAAAGATGTTAGAATTATTCCTCAAAAAGCTTCGGAGATGTGTGTTTGGTTCAGGTCAGTACCAACACTCTCAATCGAATTGAACCCGGAGAAGCGTATGTGACCTTTTTCCGCCATTCATTCAAACAGTTGGTGGGCTGAAACATAGGAACCCTACAAGACCCATTCTTGACTCGTTAACGCAGCTTAGAAAGTTGTACAGGACACATATCTTAGCCCAGCATCAGGGAAGCCACCTGCTCGCCATCAAGCGGCAGCAACAGTTCAAGAGCTGGTGAACTTGGTCACCGCCTTGGTCCCTTCAGAGACGGCGTGCTTTGCGAGCTCGCCAGGGAGCACGAGGCGGACGGAGGTCTGGATCTCGCGGGAGGTGATGGTCGGCTTCTTGTTGTAACGGGCGAGACGGGCGGCCTCCTGGGCGAGCTTCTCGAAGATGTCATTGATGAAGGAGTTCATGATGGACATGGCCTTGCTAGAGATGCCAATGTCCGGGTGCACCTGCTTGAGCACCTTGAAGATGTAGATCTTGTAGGTCTCGCTCCCCTTCTTGGTCTTCTTCCTCTTCTTCTTGTCGCCGGCGGCGCCGTCCTTGGAGGGGAGCCGCTTCTCAGCCTTGGGCTTCTTCTCGGCGGGGGCCTTCTCCGCCTTCTTCTCCTTCTCCTCCGCCGGCTTCTCGGCGGCGGGCTTCTTCTCCGCAGGCTTCTTCTCGGCCTTGGGCGCCATCAGGGAGACGGCTTTCGGAAAGCAGGGAGGAGTTAGCGTGCGCAGAAGAGAAGGAATGGAATCAAACCGTAGAACGCAAGCGACGAGGGAAAGCGGAGGCGGAGGCAGGCATATATAAAGGGCAAGCGGGAGATTTTTATTGGAGAATGGATTCCATTACGGATCGTTAACGTGGCACTTGAATCTAGCGTCAGATCGATAACAACGGAAGTGTCGCTGGACGATCAGGATTCGATGTGCTTTGTCGGAGCGGATGCTGTGACCCGATTGCAGTCGATGGACAAATTTTGACCCGAATCCGATTTGGTGACCACAGCCGCGGTGGCTTCATAGACTCCTTGTTAACCTCGGAAGGGCGAGCATGAGAGCATTGGAGATCGGCTTTGGTCAGCGTTCGTTGGATCGGATCTTGACCTTCCCCTCTCGCTCTTGAAATGGTACGTTCTTCGATCGTCTCTCCTCAAATTCCATGGTTTTAGGGTTCTACGGATCTACAAGTTTCTGCATTCTTACGGATTCTGGTGGTGTCGATGTCGTGATGGATCTAACCGAGGAACACTAAGATCTAGATCTCTTTGACGATGGTGTGCTGGTTTTCGTAGGCTTTGAAGAATGCCATTAGAATGGACGATAGGGAGAGAATTCGAAGGAGATGCTTTTTTTATGTGTAGTAGAATCAATGATTTGGCGCATTAGCTCGAAAAGATTAGGAATAAGGATTTGCGAGCCTGAATTATAATATCAAGAAAATATATGGCATATCCTTCTCTTCTTCTCTGCACTGTAAACGTGTCGATGATGCATTTGCCAATATAGAAGATTGTCATAGGAATCGTTAGGTTTTAAGCTTTAATGCTGTAATGTTTTGTGTTAATGTAGCTAAATCAACCTTCGAGGACACACTACAAATTAGTATTTATATCGAGGTAGATTGGACTGTCAGAGATCTGATTGGTTGTTATCTGTTTTAGTAGGTATTTATCAGGATTCTGTGGGGTCTTGTCTTTTGTAAATACCTGAGAGTATGAATCGGAGTAACTGAGAATAGAGTTCAATGCTTTGTGTTTCTATTTTTCTGCAGTGGTATTGGAAGTTTTCAGTAAGGAGGACTTGCTCGTTTTTTCTTAGTTAGACTGATGTATCATCATATTAAATTGGTCGCAGCAGTCTATCTAGGACATGTCACACAAATTTTATGGATCTGTTTTTGGCACAGGAAATTTTCTATATGTAAGTAGGTAATTACATGTGTTTCTTGTTCTGCAACTGCTTATCCCACTTAATATTTGATCACATTTCATCATTAGATATTTTGTCCATGGTTCCAGATTCAGTTTAATATCTTTGGTTATTGTTCGAATCTCTATTTGTCTGCAAAAGTCCTTAGCCTTAGCTTTCAAATGCTTCGCTTTGCAATGCTTTTTTTAGATTGAGATGAGTTTTATTGTTCAAATGTGGTAATTGTTTTATCAAATGACACCTAGAAATTCACTTGACATCAACTGGTGAGACAGTAGACTCATGCCCACATAGAATTCTCTCGTTATTCTTTCGAGTTATGTTTTGTTCATGATAGCAAGTTTTCAGCAACTCCGTTTGGAGTCATTGAATATTTTGTTTCCCATAATACAATCTTCTCTGTATCTGTTTCTTTTGCAGGATTCTTGTCCATCCATCAAGAATGTTAAGTACTATACAGATGATTGGCCAACTCTTGCTGCTAAATCGGCTTATGAGAAATCTGTATTTACCAGGACACTAAAAATAAATGCTTGCACTGAAGGTAGCTTGTCTGCTGTTAGTTTGTTCTACTTTCATAATTTAGTTTTTTACCCTCAAATGCATTTATACCACATTATTCTGGAACACATAATACTTGGTAAAGCCACTTTCTTTCAATTGGTGCATAATCTATTTGCTTTTAATTATTTATTTTGGTCAAAGTAAAGATTTTATATATTTGAATTATTTGCCTTGATGAAATTTGTTGACGAGTAGGATACTGCTTTGTACTCTCTTTGCATGACTTGTATAAAATGTTAGCACTTGTGCCATTTTTCAGTGTTTCCTTCCATGTATACCGCTTGTAGGATCATACTTGATGGAGCCGCATTCTTGTCTGAGCAGGTGATCGTTATACCAGTTATACCATGACTTATTTTATTTTGGAGTAGGATAGATATCGACATGCTTTAACGTTCTACCTATTTCTCTTTGGTTCCAAAGTTCAAAATTTTATTTGTTTTGTAATTCTTTTGTTTTTTCTCTTTTCTATCCGTGATTCTGTTTTTTGAGTTTGCTTATGGACTCGATGCATGTTTATTTTTTCATATTTCATAGAGCCATAAGCATAAAATCAAATTAAATTACTTCTCCTGCAGTTATAGTTCTCTTACAAGTTCAACTAATTCTATCATATTGGCGAAACCTTATTGCACAGGACATCATCTTCCTTGTTCTTCTTCCCAGAATGGTGAAAGCATACTGGCCGAACATGGTAAAACCGAACACCATCTCCTTTTTCTCTTGCAAATGTTAACTCAAATTGTGCTGTCCTTTCAACTTATGTTTTCTTTATGCTTTTTTCTTTGAATGAGTGCATTAGTTCAAGAAAATGAGCATTAGGAAACAGCCATATTAAATTCACACTGTGACAAATATATCATGCTAATCTCCATTATTAAATCTCTCATACTTGCTTTCTGAAGCATACCGTTAGATAGATGTTGGGACAAACTGCTTTATGTTTCTATTCTGCAGGAAAAAACAATCCCAATCCTGAAATAATTATCTTTTATTGATATTTTTCTTAACATACAGTTCTAATATCTTACAAGTATTGAAAGATCTTTTTCTTTCACATCTCATTCCAAAATCCATTTTTTTTTTCAAAGATATCTTCTTTAAATAGATTTTTTTTTCTGAATTTGAATTTCTCTTTCTCCAAATTATAAATCGATTAAAAAAATCTAACCCTTTTCTTATCCTTAGAAATAAAAATCTTTACGAACTCCGTCGAGATCCCTCTTCTCACTCCCAGTCCGATTCCCTGGATCCATCAATCTTGCTTGTGCTTTGAGAATGGTAGCGGCTATATGTAGTTCTGACTGAACAAAATATAAAAAGATCTCATGCCTATGAAACTCTTCCATGATTCCATCCAGATCCAATCACGAATCTCAAAGAATAATTTCATGATTCCTTTGTATTGTTATAAAGGGTAAACGAAATTGAAAAAGGATTTCAATAAAGAAAAACTTTTCTTACCGAAGCCCTATTGAGAATGGAGTTGGAATTCCAACATTATATTTTTCTTACCATGAAGAGAAATATGTTTCCATGCAAACTCAACTCCGATTCCAAGTATTTTCTTCTTTCCTTACCATGTCGTATTATGTCCTCTCATCATATATATAAAGCAATCGGCTCGGGTGAGAGAACGCGCGCGTGGCGATGGATTTGAGTCCGTGGTCTTTTGGAGACGCTTTGGCTACGGGCGACTGCTTGGCTGCTGCCTGGGATTATCACGAGGTCAGGCGCTGTTCA